TTTCACGTGTTTTTCGTCACATGCGCGCCGGGTAATCTGCAGAAAACCAGCCCTAAAGTGGTCACGCGTTTGTCATGTGAAAGTCATGTGAAAGTCATGTGATACTACTGTCACTGAGTGCACCGTTTCGAATCCCGCCACCGCCTGTTTTTGAAACCTGCTCTAAATGCGCTGCTATTACCGGTGGACATACCTCTGGTGGTCTACATTGCAGACCAGTTGTCAAACTAGCAAATATCTCAAGCACCGATTCTCCAGAGCCAATTTTCTCTGTTTTTTTCTATTTTTCATAGTTAATTTTTTTTGCACCTATTTTTTACTAGCAATTCTACCAAAAATTAATAAAAAGTTAAAAATAGAAACTTTACCAAAAAATCACCCAGTTTGCTATTCTAAATACATCACCATATAATTTGGGTCTCTCTTATTATACCCTGTGATTTTCATCTATATAATTGCTCATCTTCCCTGTCATCTAGGCGTTCTAAATTTGCACGTGCCAAAATCTTACCATAAAAATGCGGAAATAAATAATTTTCGGTTGCGGCCATATCTAGTAGAAAACACCGTTTCCCGTCCGATCAACTGTAGTTAAGCTGCTAAGAGCGAGACCGAGTAGTGTAGTGGGAGACCATACGCGAAACTCTCGTGCTGCAATCTATTTTTTTTGCACCTTTTTTTTAGCCACCCCATATATTTTATTACATCAATGGACTCCTCACGCCCCCCTCTATCCAATGAAACTAACATCTAGTTCATACCTTCTACTTCCCTTAACAATGTTGTCCACTTTACCCTTTTTTTACTATGGGATCAAACTTTTTTTCGTGTGCGACTTTCTTAACTATGCGTGCGGCGCCCTCCTATATTTCTTAACTATGGCACTGTTCCAATCTTCACAGACTAGTACTAGATCGGACACCAGAGATAATCCACCTCCGTCTCCTGGGGCTGGGTATATAGTATATGTTCTGTTCTAATTAGGTTTTATTCATTGAGTATTTTCTGGATTGCTACAGATTAATGATTATGTATATACTAAAAACATGGTATTAAAGCATAGATCAGCAGTGAAAATCATAAACGAAATATAAAAATAAAGGAAACACGGAATTTAATACATCTTAAAATTGAAACTGCATGCTTCCTAAAAGTTGAAAAGTTGTAAAAGATCCTTGAAGATTGACACAGTTTAGGCAACAATCAGATGGTAATATCATGGTATGAGGTTTAGATCACTGGTTAGTCCTATTGCCTACGTTGGTTTGAAGCTTCTTTAAACTCTTCTCTTACGTTTACAGTACTTGATAGATTTGGTTGTTGAGGACTGTTCAGTACTTGACGTAGATAAACTATCATCGGAAGTAAATTCTGTAGTAGTAGCAGATGTAACTTGAGTGGTAGGTGGAAGTTCAGTGGTACATGGTGTAAGATACAACACTGTATCAGTGGCCAATGATGATTTTATGATAGTAGTAACTCCGTTGGTATCACTTTCCCAACAACTGGTTTCAGTTGTTGTGGTGTGAACAGGCTCATATTCAATCACACTAGCGGTTTCTCCTGGGGTCACAGTGTGAGTAGTATAACTAGTGCTGACCCCAATATATGTAGTTGTGATGGTGATAGTAGGGATAGGAACATCAACAATAACAGTAATAGTTGGATCATCTGAATTGTGGGTCTTGGTAGTCAAATGTGTGGTCAGACCTGTCCAAGTTTCAGTAATAACAACAACCTCTTGACCATTGGACCCAGCGACATTGTTTTGATAGTTTTTCCATTCAACGTTTAAGGAGTTATCATTGTTAACAGTAGATCCACTACAAACGTATTTGTTGAGGTACTGTACGGTATTATCACCTCCAACAACAATAGACACAAGTGCGTCAATGAATACACGGTAACCGGCTGGGACATTCTGGTAGCTAATCAGATATCCCGAGCTACTGCAGGTAGTTGTAAATGAAAAAGAGGACAGTACAGATTTAGGCAAATACCAGTCATTCAAAGAATTTGAAATGGCAGCATGAATATTTGCACAATCAACTTGTCCTGAATTATTGATGATTTTAATACCTAATGTACCTGTACTATAACCACTTGCACAGTTACCTGCTGCTAAAGAATGTTGCATTTTGTTCAACATTGGTAAGGTACGAGCATGGTAAATAATTTTGTTGGGATCAGAATCAACACCTTTTTGGAATGTAGCTTGGGTGGAAAGGGTGTTACTTCCATCTTTAAAAGTAACAGTATTTACCCCATCCTGGAAACGGGATGCACAGGAGACATCATTACTTGATGCTGAACCACCTACATTAAAAGCAACTGGGAAGGTTAATGTCCCTGTAGCACTAGTCAGGTCTTGGACAGCACTAAGCAAAACACAGTTCAATTGAGAACTAGAAAGTAAGATATCTGCAATTGAGAAGGTACAAGTTGCATAACTGGTAGAACCAACTTTCAAGTCAACAGAAGTTTGGGTCGTTGGGAATTTGAACACACAGGGCATATCTAAGGTAAAGGTATCACCCGAATTCATAGTAGAGCCATCTATTTTCCAGCCCAATTTAGCCATCCAACTAGGAGAAGAAGGACTGGCATATGGGTAACCACCACCATTTTCCCAAGTTAACGAGTTGAACTCAGTGAAAACCCCACTTATTGCTTGGGTTGAAACAAATGTGGCCAATAGCTGCAAAAGAACGAGTGACAAAATCATTTTTTTTTTTGTATTGGAAAGGGAAAAGGTTTATTAATTCGAATTAAAGGGATATTGGGGGGCTTTTTATAGATGAACGTTTTAGGGTCGTACCTGACATATAGTGGGTTATGGTTGCAGCTAATAATATATAGCTTTTAGACTAATACAGTTAAAAAATAATTTGGCAGCTTCGCATCAACAGGCTTAAAATAATCTAAACATGCTATTTCATGCAGAATCATAGGCAATGAAAAATATTCGGCTATTTCACTGATAAATATAGTAATGAAACATGTTATTACTGAATAAAATCTATGGAGTTTCTGAGTGTGTATTTTTTTGGCTCATTCAAATGATCAGAAGGGGGAACTTCTACTTTATTGTAATGGTAGAATTATACTACTTTTTCAACTATGATTAGACTTTGATAATATTATTTTTAATTTCGTCAATCGATCACAAGAGAATCTATAGATATGATATGTCTCATGAAAGCTTGGTAAAATTTCCTTGTATGGGGTTATTTTTTTTTCTCGAGAGGATGCTATCAAAATGTTGAAATCGGGTTGATTTTTTCCAATAAATGAGGATGGTATATGCATGAAGAAGCAGAAGTATGCACCGAGACCCAAATATACAATAGTACCTTTATTTAGACGAAATTATAATTATTAGTCAAAGACGGAAATACTTGCCACATGTCAAACCATTGTTCTAAAGTGAGGATTTTAAAGTTCGGTTGTTGGAAGACACGGGGAAATATTGTGGACATTTTTTCGAGAGCATTATTCGTATTGGAGAGAAAGGATATATTCAGCCTCACAATTGAAGCGCATTAATTCCACCTTAGACGAACAGCAAAATTATTTTTTATGTGGGTCCAGAATATTTTTTTAATGACGCCTGCCAAGATTTGAGAATATTTTTTTTTAACGATATCCGACCGGGGGATCTCCCAAACACAATCTGTTGTTAAGACTATAAACACGTAAGGGTTGCCACGTCTATCCACTGATTTTCGTCAACAAAAATAAAAGGTAAACAGAGAAAGTATTCACAGGTAATTATACTACAGGAGAATAACCTCGAAGGGAATCTTTTGGGGAGGAACAAATTTTACGGAGCCAAACTTAAACTTTTTGATTAATTAACTATGCTTATTTTAATACGAACTGAAGTATTCTTTTGCATCAACATTTCCTTTACTTACATTAAGACATAAAGCTGCCATCTAATCTCTGAAACTGTCAGCAATACTGTTATATAGATTCTATTATAAACATCAGGCATGGTGTTCTTGACGTTCTAAATACTCGTGTACCATTTTGTATAATTGCCAAGTTTTGCCATAAAAAGGATATTTCTCCATGTATTAATTTTCTTAAGTATATAAAACTATTACCTATTTTAGTTAAAAGAATTGACTAAACATTGATGTCAGTCAAACGGATTACAGCCGCAATGCAAAATTTCTAGAATCGATCCATTTTTAGAAACAACCCCCTGTTTTCATTGCGTAGCGAGTCAAAATTTTAACCCCTACAATTTAAATTCGGGTGTCGTAAGGTAAAGTATTCTCTTGACGATTTTTCATGTCAAATCATGTGCAGCGGATAAATCTTTGTGCAACAGCATACGCGAAACTTTGGTGCTGCAAATTATCTTTTGTTTATATAATTTCATGCTCAATAGAAAAACCAAGGAAGAAAGGACCAGAAAAAGTAGTTGCAAATCCTATAATTATTATGGTTCGTTTAAATTAGTAAATTCGAAAATTAAAATAAATGCAACAATACACGAATAGAGCCATAGTCAAAATTATTAAACATTCTATTCTAGGAAATCAAGCTGTTGATCACGGAAGATACATTCCAATTTGAATCAGACAAAAGGTTCATATTATAGTACTTATAAATAAACTTGCATAATCCATGTGTAATTACAGAAGCTATTAAATTAAGTTGTTTCAATTAGATAGGGAGACCAAAACATTGCTTCTGATAAATGGTTGCCATGGTATAAAAAGGCAAGAAGTAAAAAGAATCAAATGCACAAGGTAAAGGTTAAAACCAAGAGCAAATAATTATAGTGCATAAAGGAATTAAGAAGAAGGAAAATAAAGTTTCTAATAGAGTATTGGACCAGCAAAGGTAATTTTTTAATGATTATAATTAAATTTTAATAAATTCAAAATCACAATTTAGAACAAAAAGAACACAAAAGGGGGGTATGGAGAATGTCAAAACATGTCTATGTACTAACATCATGTCGATACATTTAAAAAAAAGATGATTTTCTCATATACTTCATGAAAGTTGTTGAAATAGTACATTGCATGCACTCATTCAATGTTGTAATATTTCATTTTCATGCTTTTGTAAGCCCTTTTGTTTACCATTAGTACATCATCTATATAAGACAAAGAACAACAGTACACTATAAAGCAATTCCAAGTTTAGAACACTCTATTTTACTACTATTTTACATAATGCTTTTCCAAAGTATAACCATAAGAATATATTATATTTTATATTTAAAGGTTTATTTTATTATATAATTCAAAAATAAAAACACCCTCTTTTAAGCTCTCATAATTTATATCATAAAACCTTCTATTTTCTCTACTAAACTATCCATTTCATCATTTTCATAAGTAATTCCACCACAATTCAAAAAATCAGTTACTTTTACTCCTTTATAAATGTCTTCCATCATAATATTATGAAATATCTTTGTTTCGTATGTATTGCACATATTAAACAAAGAAGCATCTGTTCTAAATTTTAATTTTAAAAATATACCTTTAAATCCATATTTAATTGCTGCTTGTCCAATTCTTACTTGAGTTGTTGCAGAATTACTTCTTCTAGTATATCAAAATCATTTACATATAATGAATATACTGATTGTTGTTCTACTTTTTTAATATCGCATTTAAATTTAATTAAAAACAATTCAAGAAGATTTCTTTCTCTATCTTTTATTTTATCTACTTTTATAAAATTATCTTTTGTTAGTGATACATTGGTACCTAAATATATAGTTTTATTTGATACCACGTAAAATACCTTATCTAATTTATATCTATCATCCTTATCTTTTATATAAGTTAAATACATAGAATCGCATGGATCTATTATCTCTTCGGTTGTTTTTAGTGCCAAAAATCTTTGATTTACGCATTCATTGTGTTCTTCTGCATATATTCTGTCTTCTTCATTATAATAATTTACTGCCAAATTTCTATATATAACATCAGTAGGATAATATAATGCTAAAAATATATCATTTTCATTTTCTATTTTTATTGATTTTGTTGGGTACCTTGTCGAATACATTGTCTTTTCATTTTTATCTAAATATACATAGTTTTCTAATGTAATAAAATCTTTTTCTTTTCTTTTTACTTTTATATTTTTATTTACGTTGTCATAATATATAATTCTTTTATGTTTTAAATTCAATCTTTCTTTATTTTTACAGTATATTCTGAGCATTTTATTTTAGTGGTTAAAAATCAATTTTGTGTACTGGTTGAAAATTTTTCCCCATAATTCCTCCCGGTGGCTTTTCGCATTATATGGAGATAGCCGAGATAATTTAAAGTTTTTCAAAATTTCATGCCTAGCAGCATACTGAGCAGAATCTTATTTCTGCTCACTGAAATCTTGATGCAGTATAGCCCTAACTCTCGTTTACCTTTCGAACGTGCATGAATTATCATTTTAGTACAATTAACAACCAACACAATGTTTCAATTGCAGAGAAATTATAAGTTTTCAGAAGAACTGTAGGTACTAATTTTGACTTAGTATTATGGCTGTTTTTTTAATGTATTCTAATTGTATAAGGAAGCTTGAACAATCCATGGGTTGGCTAAATAAGGTACAGTTATGAATATCAATAATTATCTCATTGATGCTTCTGTACGTGATTCCTTTTAGAAAGTATGAGCTAATGGAATTACATTTCAAAGTACAAGCAAGTGCTTAAAACTAAGTAAATACATCCAGGAACTTCCTGTTGTCTTTATTAGATCCATACGCACACTCGCAAGCCAAGTCAGCTTGCTTAAATCAATATAGAACAATTGTGAAAATGTGGCGTTGGAGAAATATCAATTCCTGCACAATGGGTGTTTAGAAATTTATTTTCGAAGAAAAAAACAAAATTGTATTTGCTTCGTTCACTATCACCTACATACATACTATGACAATCAAAGTAGCAGTTGGCCAATTATGCTCATCATCCAATCTCAGCCACAATCTTCGCACTGTAGTTAAACTTCTTAAACTTGCACAAGCTCATAATTCACGAATCCTTTTCCTTCCAGAAGCTACCGATTACCTTCTGCGTAATGCCACCCATTCTAAACAACTTAGTCATAATGTTCAATCTCAATTTCTAACTCCATTGCTAGAGCAAATTAAAGAATCAAATGGAAAGACTTATGTTTCTATTGGGGTTCACTTGCCTGGACAAGAACGGGTGCGAAACATGCATTTATTAATCAATCCGTATGGTGAGATCATCTCTAGTTATCAAAAGGTTCACCTCTTTGATGTTGATGTACCCAATGGCCCCATATTAAAGGAACTGAAATCAGTTGAGCCAGGGAATGAAATCGCAAAGCCAATTGATATCGATGGATTCAATATTGGACTTGGAATCTGCTACGATATACGATTTCCGGAATTTGCATTATCCTTGAGAGAATCAGGGGCGCACGTGCTTACTTATCCAAGTGCATTTACGACAAGAACAGGCACAGATCATTGGGAGTTGCTTTCCAGAGGAAGGGCTGTAGATACCCAATGTTTTGTGATCAATGCAGCTCAATGTGGTACTCATGATGTCAATGCTGATGGAGAACTGCAAGATAGCGATGTGAAACGAATCAGCTATGGTGAATCAATTATTATTGATCCTTGGGGGAAAGTACTTTCAAGAGCAAAAAAATATACTGATGAATTAATAAAAGATGAGGAAGGTGACTACTATGATATTATCTATGCGGAATTAGACATTGATAGTTTGACTAAAGTTCGGAAGAATATGCCCGTTATGCAGCATAGAAAACCATCCGTATATTCCGAAAATTAGTATAGAGAGTTTTGTAAAATAGTCATAACCATACGTCATTAAATGAGTTTCTTTGCCTCTATTATGATCATACAAAGTACAGCCACCTTTAAGTTTTGTGTTAAAATCTCGGACATTTTGTTTGTGCACCACTGGTGACGTATTTTCCGGCAGATAAGCTGATTGGATCGAGATAAAAAAAAATAAAAAAAAAAATAAAAAAAAAAGTCCCGTGACAAAAAATCAGATCATTTCTTTCTCTACAATGGTCTTATAGTTTATTTTAAACGATTTTTTTATGCATTATCATGAAACTAAATATATATCCAAAAAACAAAGTATGGGGTATCAACCTCCGAAGAACTAAAAAACTAAAAATAAATGACACATATACAGGGTTTTCAATACATCTAGTATTTCTTTGCTGCACTGGCAGTTAACACTTCCTCTGACGAGTAAATAACAGGTTCAAAGTAGTGTTCGGTTTCGTTATTGCTGTTATTGTTGTTATTGATTTGACTTTCCTTCTTAGTAGACACGCCGGACTTGATAACAGGGAAAGCGTCATCATTAGAGACTAATTGAGCATCGTTATTGCTAGATATTCTTCTTGATGAAAAGTGGGCTCTAGAATAGGCGGTTCTAGTAATTGGAACCCAATGACGAGTGGCAGTCTTGAAGTTGGCAAGAGAGCGGATTCTTTGAACAGCGACCATGATTAATGTATAGTTATGAATAAGTAAATGCTAAGATAAATAAGTGATAAAGTAATGAAAAACAAAAGGGATCAGAATAAAAAAAAAGGGAAGAATCTCATGTCTATTTATAAGCTCGAAAAATTGACTGATTCAACTGAAACGTTTTCTAAGAAATATTTTTTTTTGTAAGTTTGCTTTATCTGGGGTAAAAGGGTGAATGTGAGAGTGTGATCAAATAAAAATTATTTTCTCCACAAAGCCGAAATGAACTCCGTTCCTCCGTAAGCAAAAAAAAAAAGTTGCACTTCAATTAAAAAATCAGATTTTATTGCATGATTTGAGTCATACTTAAAAAATAAATTGTACCATTACGTACGATAACTTATTTTTTATCTTATCCTCGGCAATTAATTTTTTTTTGGGTTCAATTCCCGAGTAGTGCGAACAGGTCAAAATTAGTCATCTCAATTCCCGTGCCCCGGAGTTTCAGTTCCTTTTATTTTTTTATACTTTCCTTTTCCCCTTTGTGACAAACACTGAATTTTTGGTTGTAAGACAGTTTGTTAACACTCCCCCCATTTTCTCCAGCATAGCAAAATCACATTCATCTTGAAGGAGGGGAGTATAGCATTCAGGGGGGGAATCTGCGAATGGAGTATAGAAAAACGTCATTCAAAAAAAGAGTCAAGTTACCCGGGGTATCCATAGAGATTGTATAGAAAAAAATTCCGAGTAGTACAAAGATGATGTGATTTGCCCTATTATTGTTTTGGTTGGATAGTTCAAATAGTTTGGACAAGGTACACGACCGCGATAAAATAACAATCCCCACATAAAAAAAGGAAAATTAAAAATAACGAAAAATGATACGTCCACCTGGAACGCTCTCTGACAAAAGTTAAAACTTGATAATTATTATCTGGTTGTATCAGTTTTTTCCTTCTTCTTATTCCCATCAAACCACTTCTCTTTACTTTTATCCGTTTACCCTTGGAAAATAAAGAAGATTCATTGTTTACTTAACCAAAAAAGAATTAGACTTACTTTACTTTTATTATAAATCCCGTTATAAAGTCATACACATATACATATCTCCTTCACTATGGGAACAGGCTGGGAACTAACCTCGGCGCTTAAAAGTAAAATCTTTCAGTATGCAGCTCATAATCAAACACCAGTATCACTTCGTCAAATGGTTCAGTTTGGTCCTAGTCCGTCTCCAGGATCAATTTTCCTTGCCCTGAAATTTATTGTTGAAGAATTACCTATTCGATTAGCGAAAAAGGTTAAAGATTTAGAATACGCCCCTCAAGGTTTGAATGAATCACCGTCCACTATTAAAGTCAAGAATTGGTATGCTCAGTCATTTCAAGAATTGACAGAATTGCCGAAACCCAAGATTGATGAGAAATTGGCCCTGATGTTGTTCAAGAATGGGGTTCATCGGTATGAGGCCGATGAGCTGGGGGAATTACACCATTCTACCAATTATGAAGACAATCCTGCTATAAATAACGTGTTTAGTGATGATGGAATGGTTCTTAGACAAACACACCAACATGGTTATGGCCATGGTCACAGTCATAGTCACAGTCACAGTCATATTCAATCATCACCTGCTATTCCTGCAAAGGAGAATTCTCCAACTTTTGGAATGACATATTTCAATCCTTGTCCCATGAATATTATTTGGCCCCGGGAAGTTTATGCTTATAACAAGTTGGTGTGTGATGCTCTAACCAAGATCAAATTGAGACATGATGCCACTGTTGCTACCATGGCTCAAGGTGTTCAAGAATGGAAAGAACGAAATAAGGCTGGATCAATTATCAATTCTCAAATTCAAACATTTCTTGATCGATTCTACATGAGTCGTATTGGGATTCGGATGCTTATAGGTCAACATATTGCTCTTAATATGTCTCAGAGTTCACCTACGAAACAAAGAATCAATAGTTTTCTCAATGGGACCCAAGGTAATAACCAAACTAGCAATAGTAGGTTGAATTATGTTGGGGTTATCTGTACTGATTGTAATGTGGCTGAAATTGCCGAAGATGCAATTCAAACTGCTAGTTATATTTGTGAAGAGTATTATGGATTGTTTGAAGCACCAGAAATTCAACTTGTTGCTCCTCATCACGCCATTAATTTCATGTATGTTCCCGGACATTTGATTCATATGTTATTTGAAACGCTAAAGAATTCTCTCCGTGCCACCATTGAATTCCATACCCCACTCCTCAAGCAGAAAATGATTGAAGAAAACCCGGGGATGAAGTATGATGATATTGATCTTAATGATCTCAAATTTCCTCCTATCAAGGTAATTATTTCCGAAGGAAGCCAAGATATTACCATTAAGATCTCGGATGAAGGTGGTGGGATTGCCCGGAGAGAAGTTCCATTAATTTGGACATATTTGTACACAACTGTTCATGAAACTCCTAAGCTTGAGCCTGAATTTAATCAAACTTCTTTCAAAGCACCTATGGCCGGGTTTGGTTACGGGTTACCCATTAGTAGATTGTATGCCCAATATTTCGGAGGTGATTTGAAATTAATTTCCATGGAAGGTTATGGTACCGATGTGTACTTACACTTGAACCGTTTAAGCAGTTCAAGTGAACCATTGCCATGACAATTAGGCAGGGCAGGAGCAGTCAGATTGACAAGTGTAATTGGTGTTATCGTGGCTTATGCAATTGTAGGTGTGATGTTAGTTGTATGGTAGACTCAAAACGTATTTATTGTATGTAGGTTTAAGTAAAAATCAAAAAGTTCTATTGGGTAATGTTTTTATTTTTTTTTTTTTGCAGCAAAACTTTTAGCACGGTTTGTCATTCCGTGTGGATGTTACATCGGTCATATATTCCGTGATGTATGCAAGTTTGTGTACAACAATGAATCAAAGCTTTTATCCCGGGTGCAATTCACCGAGGTAGGCTTTTGGTTGATTAGTAATATAATTCCCGGAACAGTTAATGCTGTTAAACATGCATAACGGTCCATTGTCGAAATATTTGCTAAAAAATATTACTGCTATCAGAAGGTTGAAGGGTAAACGGGGGGAAAGCAATCCCTATTTATAAATTGCTTCTGCTTGTGAAAGTCTTTAAACAGACTAAAAGAGAGAATAGTATTAATAGCCTTGCTTAAATTTCTGATTATTTTAATAGTGCTAGCTATGAAATAACCATACACCTTAACAACAACCTCGGTAGATTAGTATACCATGTTCCCAAAAATCTCTCGTATATGAAGGAATTCCCGAATCACCCAGCCACTTAAGGAAAGATTTAGAAACTACTTTTTTTTTGAAAGAGATTTACCATGTTTTTTTTGTTTTTTTTTTGCAACAAAAATCTTTCTTGTGCCAAGACTAGGTCAAGAATGTATTGGGATCACTTAGATGATGCAACAGATAGCTTGGGACTGTAGCTAACTGTTTATATGCCATCAATATACGTCAGTGCTTTATATCCTGGTATTCCATTTTCTGTGTGTACGTCATCAAAACAAGCAGCTCAGAGTGGTTTTTGTTTTTTTACATCATACAGTTTACCGAGATTGACCCGAGAATAAACTGCAGCTTTATACTTATCCCTTGATGCGACCAATTAAGGGTGCCTTGGAGATTGTGTCAAAGAAAATGTGTCATCAAATTACGTAATTAGTCACATTTGTTTTGTGTGGAGGTTCTAATTTCTGTCCGCGGAAAATTGTGTATCTCCAAAAATAGATTAAAAAACCGAGGTTATCAAGGAAAAAAAAAAAGTCGTGTACCTTGGGGATAAAGTGGGGACGAACATTATCATCTGCATGGTAACTACAAACCAACGACACAATTAATAGGAATATATCGGTAATTACTTGAATTTATACCCCGAAATTGAATGATTCAAACTACTGCTGGTGATGTATAAATGTGTTTGCAATTGCAAACCCTTAATTTCTGGGTATAAACCGCACGTGATTGTGTCTTGCCCAGTTTTCCATAATTTGTATTTTTTGATTTAGACTTTTTTTTTTCTTTTTGCTTTTGCTTTTGCCTTTTATGGTGTGGTCGAAAGAAAACAAAATTAATTTTTTTTTCTTCTTTTTCCTTTTTTATCTGTCTTCCCCCACAACCAAAACAAGGTCCTGAGTTAATAATTATACATAATGTCATCATCAGCGCCTAGGACAAAGCCATGGGAAGTAGCATCTGGAACCTCTGCAGCAGCAGCTACAGGCGACCAAGCAATAGCATCTTCATCTTCAGCAGCAGCAGTGGCTCCGTCTGCAACAGCAACTTCAGCAGGTGCTGTTCCAATACCTGACCGTCCAACCTCACTCACTTCTGACTTTACCAGCATACCTGAAACTTCTGCATATGGTTCCAATTATGGGACTATGAACAATTATGGCTCCCGTTACGGTATGGGTGGGTATGGATCTGGTATGTATGGTAGTTCCATGTATGGTTCAGGATATGGTGGTTATGGAAGTGGAATGTATGGAAGTAGCATGTACGGTGGTGGTATGTATGGTAGTGGGATGTATGGTGGATATGGTGGTGGAATGTATGGTGGAGCTGGTGGAATGTATGGACAACAGCCTGGTGGTATGAATCCCTTGGGTGAAGGAACCCAAGCTACATTTCAATTAATTGAAAGCATCATTGGTGCAGTAGGTGGATTTGCACAAATGTTAGAAGCTACATATATGGCCACCCATTCCCTGTTTTTCACCATGGTTAGTCTTGCTGAACAGTTTGGAAACTTGAAAAATGCATTGGGGTCATTATTGGGAATATTTGCCTTGATTAAGTTTGTGAAAAAAATGTTGTATAAATTAATGGGCAAGACTTATAATAATGGATTGAATATAAAGGAATTTGGCAAATTTGAGAAGAATCAAAAGAAATTAGAAGATAGCTTAAAGAGACAACAACAACAATCAAGCAGTGGTAAACCAAAGATTTCATTCAAACCATTATTGCTATTCCTCGCTGCATCCATTGGATTCCCATATTTATTAAGCAAAGCTATCCAAAAACTCAATGAACAAAACCAAAGAAGATTACAACAACAACAAAATGGTCCTCAAGGTAGTCCTCTTGATCCTGCAAATTTGCAATTTGCTAAAACATTGTATGAATTCAACCCAGAAAACCCAAACATCGAAATCGAACTCAAACCTAATGAACTTGTCGCCATATTATCAAAATTAGATCCAGTAGGGAATGAAAGTAAATGGTGGAAAGTAAGATCGAGATCAGGTAAAGTAGGGTATGTTCCTTCTAATTATCTTTCTGTGATTGAACGAAGACCAGAATTGATACAGCCAGCACCGGCAGCGCAAGCCCCAAAGGAAACGGAAATCCCTGGTGGATTTGAAAAACCGGAGAAATTAGTTGAGGAATTTAAAGGGATCTAAGAGAGAAATAATGTATAGGTAATATAGTAAACAATACAAGAGTAACTCGTAAATCTATTATTCTGAATCATTAAATTAAGCTCGGCTACATATGTAAGATATTGCAAACCACTACAAAAGAGTACCTATACACTAAAACAAAAATAAATCAAATTATAACCCATCATCAGGCCTGTTTTGTTCTGTTTCAACTTTTGCTCCTTTCTCCTGCAAGGTAGTATATCCTTTTTTATTCTGTCTAACTCTAGCCACGGCATCATGGTGATGTTTCCAAGTCTGTGCCAAGTCAATTCCTTCAGCAAGCACTTTCCCTCCACCCTTATTCAAAACTTCTTCGGCATGTTGAATTTCATGAACGGCTTCTTCAGCAACTTCAATTCCTCCTGCAAGTACTTTACCAGTAGTTTTATTCAATGTACTAGCAGCCGTTTTGGCAACATTACCTGCAGTTTCGGCACTATGCACGGTAGCTTGAGCTGCGCGTTCGGCGATTTCAATATCCTTGGCAGCAGCTTTTCCAATCTTGATGTTGGCCCATGAGAGACCACCTTTAACTTGTTGGAGAACAGAATAGGAGCATGATTGGGTATAGAAGATTGGGGTAGATTTAATAATGGTAGTACGCAACATTTTTTATTTAACAACGATGAATATAAAATGAAAAAGAATTAGACATCGGATTACGACAAGAATTATCTATTTATATAAAGTCCCCAGGGGGGAGGTGTCACACAACCAACCCCTCAATATTTCATGGCATGATTTTCAATTGCAGCCGAACTCTGTTTCTAGGGGGGTGGGTTTTCGGTAAATCATGTGTTTTCTGCAAGAGGAGAAATCTGGGGAAAATTAAAAGCAAACGTTTGCAACATTGCGTGATGTATTATAGCAATTTATTTATGTGCAGGATTTTGGTTGCTGCAAACCTCCTTTGATACAGATTTATTTGCAATCGATGTTTTAATATTACGTCATTGACGTAAAGAAGTAGATTAATTGTATTTCTAGAACATTAAATAACAATAGATGTAGATCGGATCGAAATTTTTTGGATCAAACACACATTTATTCCGATTGTTGGTTGCTTGTAAGATTTCAAATATTTCACAAAATCTAGTTTAATGGATCAAAAGGATAGTTAATTAATTAATTAATTAGACGGATCTAAAACTAAATAAACATGAATTGGACCTTATTTATAAATCTAATTTCAATCAGTGACTATTCAGATATACATAGCTTACATTAACGTGAGAATCATATATGCAATACAATTGATTAACTATAACACTATAAACTTCTAGAGACCATCTTCGGGACGATTTTGTTCACTAGGAGCCTTACGTCCTTTATCTTGTAAACTAGCATATCCTTTATAATTATCACGGACTCGGGCAGTTTGTCTATCTTTAATAGCTTCTGGTTTTTCCCCAATAAACTTGTCCTTAAATTCCTCTGTGGCTTGTTTAGGATTGTTCCACTTATCCTTTATGGTTTCCTTAGCTTGCTTGCCTTGTTCAATAGCTTCGTTTGTCATGGATTTTGTTGCTGCTTTTCCTTCACCCACAAGTTTATCTCTAACTGAAGCACCTGCTGATTGGGTTTCATCGACTTGGTCCTTGATAGTTTTTCCTGCTTGTTTGGTTTCACCCTTGACTTGATCTCTAATGGAAGCACCAGTTTCTTGAGCTTCACCTGCTTTGTCCTTGATGGTATCTGCTGCTTGTGATGTCTTTTCCAGAAGTTTGTCTTTAAGAGAAGCACCGGCTTCTTGAGCGTCGCCTACTTTGTCCTTGAGAGTTTTTTCTGCTTGGTTGGCTCCACCCAAAATGGTTTCCTTTACAGTTTTACCTGCTTCTTTAATAGAGTTGGCGATACCTTCTTTGGTGACGTAAGATCTGGTTACAAGACGGAACATATTGAGAGTCTGCTTACTAAGAAAAGAATAAGTTTACTAAAATATACCTTCTTGTATCAACTATATATACTTCCATCTATAGCAAGCAATCATAAAAAAAAAATGGATTGCTGATTGCTATTTTATTTTTTTTTTCTTCTATTGATTTCTATGCATTTTAATTACTATCTTCCAGGCCGGGTCTATAATACGGATGTCTTCCTTCACGTGCAAGACGGGATCTTTCGGAACCTCTATCGGGTCCCCCAGTTCCTGCTCCACCCGATGGAGTCCTCAGTAATCTGCTTTGCAATCTTTGAATAAACAGTAATCTGCTAGGCGGGTGTTCCTCGGGTTGTTCTCTTTGTTCAGAAGAACTATCACTATCGGTAATCAAATCATCTATTGTGGTGGTATGTGGGGAAAAATTGACTCTTCTGTCATTTGATTGTGTTCCTCCTGGTTGAGTAGTTTGTGCATAGGAAGCACTGTTACCTCGTCTTTCAGTAAATTGTGAAGGACGTTGTTGTTGTGGTGGTGGTGGTTGACGTTGACTTCTTATTGATCTTCTTCTTCTTATGGGTATGGCATGAACTTGGGGTTCAAAATAAGGGAATTTTCGAGGAAGCACTAAATCAGGATCAGCTGACTTGACTCTGGTTTGAGTATATGGAGTAACCCAACTCTGAGGTAAATATGAATCAGTAACTGGGGTAATGGCGGGATTGTATGGCCGTCTGTAAGGATTGAAAACATCGGTTGAATGGTCGCGAATATGATCCATCACATCTTTTTCATTATTAAAATTGTGCAAGGTTGTAGATTTGATAGTAGCAAGACGAGTAGCATTAGGATCTTCATTCTTAGCCTCGACTTCTTTACGGCATAATGGGCAACTAACATTTGATTTCAACCATTCGACAATACATGAAAGTCCAAACACGTGTCCACATTCGGGAATCTTTACAGCAATATGTCCATCGCGCTTGAATTGTTTTATACGTGCCTCTTTCTCTCTATCGGCTTGATGTTTATCTTTATAACCAGGGAACTGGTCTTCCAAAGTGACTTTCTTCAATGTGGATAAATTTCTCTGGGGGAATCGGGAATAATGAGATGCACCAACATCAGTAGGGAAGAATAAAGCTGGATCATCAAACTGGGAACTTTTCTGTTTGGATTCAATAACCACGCCAACTTTACGAAGTCTATCAACCAAGTTATCATCATTTCTAATCAATTCGGTGTATGTTTCTAAATCATGAACATAGTCCTCTCTACAGGTTTCAGCTGTCTTATCTTTAATTTCTTGTTGATAGCTTTCAAAACATATAGGGCATTCGTGATCTCTCACAATAGAATAGTCAAGCTTAACAAGACTGGATATGGCTTCGTCAGACGCCAGTTTGGCGGATGCTCCTAAATTCAACCCACTGGCGGTTAATGCCCTTTCAAGAACGTCACGAAGCCAAGTTGGGAGATCAGAATTTCCAAGCGGGTTGGCCGCTGAGATATCTAGATCTACTATGGCACTTAGAAACGGCGGTTGGTCCATGTTTTGAGGTGTAACTGATAACAAATAATGGTTGCCTGAGAATTTAATTTTTTTTTTTTGTTTTGTAGCCAGATTCCCGTCATGGTTGGCTATGCGGATTTTTCAGAGTATGACTGCAAATATTACAGTGGATTTTACGAGAGTTAAACTGCGATATGTGGTGATGTTTTGCATTATGAAACGTTACATTTATTCTATTACTTAGCTTAAATACCTTGCCTGTAAGTTCTTTATCATTTCCTGCTTGTCAATAGGCAACGACCTTACTTGATCTGGAGGTAGACTCAAGATTTGCATAATAAGTTCTTTTTGATCAGGAGGAACCCCCGCCAATTTCGCCTGTGTTTCTTGTGATAACCATGGTTGGTTAACTGGAGGAGCAGCTGGAATATTTCCTTGATATGGAGTTCCATATGGGTTGGAAACTGGTGGAGGTGGGGCATGGAATGTAGGTTGGTTGATATAAGGTTGTGGCGTGGTTTGTAATGGGGTATGTTGTGGTGGTGGTTGCAATGGTTGTGGAGTAGCAGATGCAGATTTCATGGAGTCGCTAATGACATCACCGTCAATAAATCCCATGAGGAGTAATGCTTGCGCAGCACATGCTGCTAAATCCGGTGAAACTTGTAAAATTTCATGTATTGGACCTGCACCACTGCTATTCTTCATCGTGGCAATCAATTCTATTAGTTGGACTGGGGGAATCTTACTCAATGTCTCATTGATCTTGTCCGGTATTCCAAATGGGAGTGCTACTGGTTGTGGGAAATTCTTGGTGGCATTGGTAAATTTCACAGGCATTTGACCAGTACTCATTCTATTAAGTGGAATGTTGGGTATGGTTGAAGGTACTGGAGAGTTTATTCTACCACCATTGCCACCGGCTAATAGCAATTCATTGGGTAATTTGACATAATCAGGCAATTTAGTTCTAGACAACATCAACACTGGTTTCTTCTCAGCTGCACCTTGTTTGGACCCTTTCAATCCTTCTTTACTTGCTTCTACTCGCAATCTTTTCCCTCCCATTAACATAACTTGTGAAAGTAAAGGCAAGGCTCGTTGGGCATCGCTGACAGTTTGGTATTCAATGAAGCAGTACCCCTTGTTCTTTCCAGCATAATCGAATCCTAATCGGACGTCTACGATGTTGCCCAGTCCACACACTACCAGTTTCACGGTTTCTTCATCCCAGTCAAAGGGAATCAGCCCTAAGTAGAGGATATTAGAGTTTACCGGGGCCATGATAATCTTGATTAAGAGATTGACGAGATCTTTTGAACTTCTACTAAGGTGCTATATGTCTTGGTACTTTGTGGATTTGCTGAAAGCAAAACTTAGTTGTTTTTTTTTTTCGCTATTTGTGCAAAGCAATGTCGTGCGAATTGGCGAATATATGATCAGCGTTTTAAATTGGTTGCTCAATACATTTGTAGCTGTAGTATTCAAATCTACAAAGAGAAATTTATAAAGCATGGTCTAAATTTACTTAATTGCTATAGATCTATATGTTTATACAACACGTTCAGCACCACTTAATTTAACAGCAGCACCATACTTTTGCAATTTTGTCAATAATCCATCACCAACCTTAATCAAGGAATGGTATTGGGCATTCTTATTATCAGGTCTATTAGTTTCAATGATCCCATTGACTTTATCAATAGTACAGTTCAACTTCTTTTTAGGAATGAATTTGCATAAATCTTGATCCAAGAATTCCTCGCTGATATTAAAACTTTGTGCCATGGATTTTATCGAAAGGGATTTGTACGATTCAAGAAGTTGGCCATATGCCTTGGCTCTCATTTCACGGAGGAAATAACTGGCATGACGGTGAAGGTACTTGTTAGTTATAAGGAGATGGTCGTGTGATTCAAGAAGATGGTGGAATAAGTAATTGTATTGACAAGTGTAAAGACAATTGGTCAAGTTAAGTAATGGCTCAAGGTCAGGTGATGATGAGTAAATGGAAAGGATTTCTGGTGAGTCAATAACCTTCTCCTTGAGATCAACCCTATCTAGAGATAAAACTCCCAGAACAATAGCATATTGAGCAATTTGATCATATGAACAAAGTTCAGTGGATGTGAAAGTAGCCAACGAGTCAATGAGTAATTTAGCGGCTTCAGTGAAGTTTCTCGTGGCCAAGAGATATATACCTTGGTATGCCTTGAACCTATTTCTTCTTTCCCAATCACCACCTTTTTCAATCAATCCCTTGATGGCATCTAAGTGCTTACCAACTTGGGGGAAATCATTAAAGAAAAATTCAATACGGGCAAGCGTCAATAAATGATCAATCTTGTTCCCGGTACCACTAGTCAATTCCAACACTTTTTTGAAAGTTTCTGTGGCATTCTTACGATCAATGATCTTGGTATAGTATTCGGCAAGTTTAGTAGTTGTGCCCGCCACATCCAACTCAGTTTCTTCTTCACCTTCAGCTTCCTTGATTTTCAGCTTCAATTGGGAGATTTCCTCTTCATTATGAGCCAACATCTCATTGTATAATGATTCATCAAAGGGGAACCCCAAGTCAAGAGTAGACAAGTACTTGTAGTAAGGAGCCATGTTTTCTTGCTTGATGATTTCCACCATGGCATTGATGGTCTTGGTACGTTCCTCAGCGGGAACATCTAACGTGAGATGGAATTGATGTTCCAGAAGCTGGTAATCTGGGATCCTGGGTATGCCTGAGTCGTAATCCATTGTTGAATGTATTGATGGTTGATTAAGATAAAGCTTGGTTGTAAAAAACTCGCCGTTCTTGAAGGCAAATTTGAAGAAAAACAACTGTCAACTAACATGTAAACTTGTAAACTGTAAATTGGTGTAAAATGTAAACTTTGTATAATCTGTAATTTTTTTCGCGGATTAATTTTGAAAATCCACAAGCCTTCGAATTTTTTTAAAGCTCGGTTCAAATATGTGGGGGAGAACGGGGATAGGCTGTTTGTCAATTGTACTATAAAAATCCACCGAAAAGTTTTCTTTTCTTATTCTTTCCTCCTCCCTGTTCTTTTCTGTTGTATAATAATCAATCAATCATGTCAATTACTCAGGATATCCCAGCAATCTTTTTAGAAAAAATCTCCCCAAAAGGTCTTGAAGCTATTCAAAAGACCAAGGATTTTGTTCACGATTATTGTTTACCTGCGGACGCCATTTACCTTTCCCAAATTTCTAATGATCCCGCTACAAGATGGACTTCAACTCCACCGGTAATGGAAAAACTCAAGGCTAAGGCTCGTGAACTTGGGTTATGGAACATGTTCTTGTCCAAGCACTACCCTGAAGGACCAGGTTTCACTAATTTAGAGTATGGGTTAATGGCTAGATACTTGGGTAGATCATACACTGCTCCAGAAGCTACCAACACAGCAGCTCCAGATACTGGTAATATGGAACTTTTCGCTAAATATGGTACCGGTTACCAAAAGCAAAAATGGTTGCAACCATTGTTGAATGGAGAAATTAGATCAGCATTCGTCATGACCGAAAAGGGAACTTCTTCCTCTAATGCGCTTAATATTTGTACCAGTGCTAAGCTCAACTCCAAGGGCAATTATGTTGTCAATGGTCACAAATGGTTTGCCTCGGGTGCTGGTGATCCAAGATGTCTGGTTTGGTTAGTCATGTGTAAAACCAGTGATGATTCGGCTAATCCATACCGCAACCATACTGTGTTGGTAATTGATGCCAAGAAAGCTATTGCCTCAGGTAAAGCTAAGGTCGTTCGTCCTCTCCATGTTATTGGATATGATGATGCTCCTCATGGCCATTGTGAGATTGAATTCTCTGATTTTGAAATCCCAGCTGAAGATATGCCCCATGCTGTTCTTGCTGGTGTTGGTCGAGGATTTGAATTGATTCAATCTAGATTGGGTCCAGGTAGAATCCACCATTGTATGAGAGCAATTGGTGCTGGAGAATTCGCCTTGTTACGTATTGCCCATCGTTCCAATCATAGACTTATCTTTGGTAAGCCTATGAACCAACGGGAATCTTTCCTTACGAGATATGCCCAAAGTAGAATTGATATTGAGAGATGTCTTCTTCTTGTGCTTAATGCTGCTCACAAGATTGATATTTCCAATGCTAAGGCTGCCCAGCGAGAAATTGCCATGGCTAAGATTGAAACTCCAAGAACTATCGGAGCAATTCTCGATTGGGGGATTCAAGTATTTGGTGCTGAGGGTGTTAGTCAAGACACTGAACTTGCTAGAATGTGGGCTAATAACCGTACTTTAAGAATTGCTGATGGTCCAGATGAAGCTCATTTGGCCCAATTGGCCAGAAATGAGGCTTCTAGATTTGGTGAAGTTGACAAGTTTTTTGCAAACTTTCAAGCCAAGAGAGACAGAGTAGGTAGATTGTAGTTTGTTTTAGTTATGTGTTGTATATTTTTATATATATATAAATGTTAATTACACACCCAGAACTGAAAAAGCTTTATAGAAATGTAACACTCTAGTACATATCTCCCCTTACGAAATCATTAATCAAACCCTTTTCCAACAATTTCTTGCTCCTTATTTTTTGTTCACTGACAATTTGCTTGTGTTTTTGTTTCAATTCATCTTCGGCCTCTCTGAAATCTATTTGTTGCATCACTTCCAAATGGTCGTCTTCACGGTCAATATCTAATTCTCCCATCATAACCACATTCTCACCACGAACCATAAATACGCCTCGATATACTTCAGCAAACTTGTCATCAAGATATATTCTCTCGTATGTGTCTTGCAATACCAAATTAGCAAATTGGTCAAATGTACGTAAGATCCCAAATAAGTTGCGTCCGTCTCTTAACAACACAAAGATTTTCCTATCGACGGACCCAACCAAGGCTGCTGCCGTGGTGAAGGCATACGATTCAAGATAAAGGTCTTCCACATTAGGAGCCAATGGGTCTCGTGCTGGTGCTTGTGTTTGTACTGGAGCAGGTGAAGGTTCTGGGGTGGCACTCATGATATTGTGTATAGTTGGTCGTTTGTACTAGTTATGGGTAATATTGCAAGTCAAGTTGAAAAGATTTTTGAGGATTTGGTGGAATTTGATTTGCACACGACTAATAGTGATTATTACTAAGGAACAATGCTACTGCACCATTTGAGAACACGTACATAAACCAATCGAGACATAAACAGTTCTAACTTATTCTCGTAGTTAATGTAATGGTGAAGCTAGAGTGTAGTTCTTCTATACGTGTGTACTTCTACTTTTTCAGTCCTCCATGTAGGTTGTGCTACCATGTGATCTATGAAGTCATAGGGTTAGGTGATTACCAGTGTAGCAACATTACTAGTTACATGACTAGCTATTCAATTGGATTAGATTCAAGCTTAGTATATGGTTGTTGTTTTTTTTAGTGTGGTAGAGGTGGTGAAAGTGGTTTGGTTTTATGCAAATATAAGTAGCCAAAAAAAAAAACTGAGATGAGGGTACCAAAAAATTCGGCAGCAACTCTTCAACAACTACTACCAAATGTCATTCTACGCATATAAAGACATCATTGAAGCAGGTGACCTCGTGCTTGCCTTCATATCGCGTGGTGCCACCAAACCAATAACTGTTACTCCAGGAGAAGTATTGAACACAAGGTATGGACAATTTGAACATGACTTGATGATTGGCATGAAGTACGGCAGTCAAATGGCAGGTAAAAAGGGATATGGTTTCATTCACCTTCTCCATCCTACCCCTGAATTATGGACCCTTTCACTCCCACATAGAACTCAGATCGTGTATACCCCTGACTCCAGTTATATTGTGCAACGATTGGGTGTGGGGCCAGGACTGAGAATTATTGAAGCCGGTACTGGGTCTGCCAGTTTCACACATAGTTTTGCCAGAAGTGTAGGTGATAAAGGGAAAGTATTCACTTACGAATTTCACGAAGTAAGATACAATGAGGCTAAGCGAGAGTTGGAAGAGCATGGATTAATGAAGAATACTGTGATTACGCATAGGAATGTCTGTGATGACGGATTTGAAATTGACAACCATAAAGTTGATGGGGATGTTGTGTTTTTGGATTTACCTAGTCCGTGGACAGCAATTCCTCATTTAAACAAAGTCATTGCTGAGGATAGACAAGTTGGAATTTGTTGTTTCTCTCCTTGTATTGAACAAGTGGAAAAGACTGTTAAAGCATTGGAAGATGATGGATGGACTAGTATTGAAATGGTGGAAGTCGCTGGTAAGAGATGGGAAGCAAGAAAGGATATGGTTAAACATGTGGACGATGTTGTTAAACGTTTGAAGGATATTCAAGATAGAAAATCTCAAGGAATTGAAAAGTTGAGAAATGTTAATAGTACTGCTCCTTCTGAAGTGTCTAGTACTGAAAGTACTCCAGAGCCACCATCTAAGAAACAAAAGAGAGACCGAGGCTTCAATCCATTTGGAAAAGGTACTAGAATTAAGGAAGGTGATGATCAATATGAATGGAGAGATGTTACCAAAGTTGAGTCTGAAATCAAGAGTCATACATCATATTTAACATTTGCCTATAAGAATCCAAACAGAAAAGTATAGATGTAATTTTAGAAAAAGAAATATTTAAATAAAAAATTGGCATTCAATAGTCTCGTGTAATTCTCCCCTTATTTTTCTCTGATACCCCAGCTACTGTGATTATTTATGTTACCTCTTCCTTGAGTTAACGTCGACGCCTATCTAGTCATTCAGCCCCTAAATAGTCTTATTGACCCTTCGACATATTCCTGCACTACCAGATGTGAAAAAAACTCGTGTCTCTACCAATCTCGGTCAAAAAAAGGCGCAAAGGGCGCACCCAGGGAAAATCCCACGCCAATTGTTATTTGAAATTGGCCAGTTCACTATTCCCTTAGTTCCAATCGAATACAATACATCAATCATTATCAATTGAATATAAACATGAGCGCCCCAATAGGTATGTTGCAGTTTATACCATTGCTACAATTGAATTCAGCGTACTAACAATTTTTTTCTAGTTCTTGATCAAGGTACCGGGTTTGTCAAGATTGGTCGGGCCGGCACCAATTTCCCAGACCATACCTTCCCATCTATGGTTGGGCGTCCTATTTTACGAGCAGAAGAACGAAATGTGCTCATTCCCGCTGACGTTGAGATTAAGGATATAATGTGTGGTCTGGAAGCTAGTGAAGTTAGATCACTCCTTGAAATAAACTACCCCATGGAAAACGGTATCATTAAGAATTGGGAAGATATGGAGCATTTATGGGATTATGCGTTTTACGAACGAATGAAGATCAACCCTGAAGGTCAAAAAATCTTGCTTACAGAACCACCAATGAATCCCTTGAAGAATAGAGAAACCATGTGTGAAGTTATGTTTGAAAAATACCATTTTGGAGGTGTTTACGTGGCTATTCAGGCAGTGTTGGCATTGTATGCCCAGGGTTTGAGTTCTGGGGTGGTTGTTGATTCTGGAGATGGTGTCACTCACATTGTTCCAGTTTATGAATCGGTAGTGTTGAACCACTTGACGAGAAGATTGGATGTTGCCGGTCGTGATGTGACCCGTCATTTGATCAACTTACTCTTCCGTAGAGGTTATGCATTCAATAGAACTGCCGATTTCGAAACCGTGCGTCAAATCAAGGAAAAGTTATGTTATGTGTCATACGATTTACAACTTGATGCTAAACTTGCTACTGAAACCACTGCTCTTGTTGAATCTTATGAATTACCCGATGGTCGTGTGATCAAAGTCGGCTCAGAAAGATTCGAAGCTCCTGAATGTCTTTTCCAACCACATTTAGTCGATGTTGAACAACCAGGTGTGGGTGAAACCCTTTTCAATATGATTCAATCGGCTGATGTCGATATTAGATCGACTTTATTTAAGGCAATTGTGTTGTCGGGTGGTTCGTCAATGTATCCTGGTCTTCCTTCAAGATTGGAAAAGGAATTGAAACAGTTGTGGTTAACTAGAGTATTGCATGGTGATGCTACCAGATTGGACAAATTTAAAGTAAGAATTGAAGATCCTCCAAGAAGGAAACATATGGTGTTTATTGGTGGGGCTGTTTTGGCCAATATTATGGCTGATAAGGATCATATGTGGATTTCGAAACAAGAATGGGAAGAACAAGGATCTAGAGTGTTGGAGAAGTTGGGTCCAAGGTAAGTCAGCAGTATAAGAATGAATGAGATCTAATTAAACTTTTTTTTTTTGTATAAAAATTAGACTAGCAATGAATAAAATGTATAAATTTGCAAGTAAATGCTTTGTAAATTATAAATATATTAAGCCTAACACTTCTATAAATAGTGTATCTAACTATAGTTCAAATGTGTAATTTTCTCCATAACCAATTCTACCATATCATCATACTCATCACTACCGATAGCTTCATTATTAATTCTTCTATTATGTCCATAATCCATGATTTCATGAACCATATCTTGAACAAGCTTCCTATTTACAACTTTTGGACGAAGGAAGTCGCAACGTAAACATTCTTCCACTGTCCATCGTTCATGTGGTTCTCGTTTAAGACACATCTTCATTAACTCAATAGCAGATTCAGGAACCACCCCACCATTCACACCAGTGGCTGGGTATTGGATCTTGACTTGGGGGTTTATAATAGCCATCATTCTTTGCGTTCCTGAATATCCTGCGTATGGTGGTCGTCCATAGATTAATTGGTAGATGATACATCCAATCGACCATATATCTGAAGGCTTACCTACTCTCCATGTGTTTCGAGGCATGGAATGATTCACTTCAGTTAGGGCTTCCGGGGCCATATAATTTGGAGTTCCAATTTGAGATTCTCGATATACATTCACGGTATGGTCTGGAACGGCATTAGCAATTCCAAAATCAATGATTTTAAGTATACCTTTGACAATCAAGAAATTTGCCGGTTTTAAATCACTATGGACGATCCCAGCGTCATGGACTGCCCGGACGCAACGTAACATCTCAAGGGAATGAAATCTAATAAAGTCTAAATCAAATGGAGTTTGGGATCTTAGTTTATTATTGAGAACTTGGGCAAGGTCAATCTCGCCTCGTTCCATGACTAGATATATCGACCCTTCAGTGATGGCATGGTCAATAAGTCGTACTACTCGGTCCAGATGTTTCAACTTTAATAAAAGATCAATTTCTCCTTTGAATCCAGCAAGGGAAATCTCGTCGTATTGTCCATTACTCACTTTCTTAATAGCATAGATTTGATTATTGGAAAGTGATTTAACGCGATATACTTTCGATGTACCTCCACGACCAAGGAGTTCTAATTTTTCGTATTGTTTACCATTAATTGAAATGATACGTTTTGGTGAAATGTGCGATTCGGTTGAGCTGGTTGATCCAGCCGATAATGGAGGTCTAGTAGGGATATAGGGTACAATTGGTGGTGTTGGTGCTGATGCAAGTAGTGGTGGTGGTGGTGGTGTCAGGATCTTTGCTTGGAATGGTTTTATTGGTTCAACTGACTGAATGGGTTTCGGAAGTTTGGGTTTCCGGAAAGTATCTATATTAACAGGAATTTCAGCCAATGCAGGTCTAGAGGAAATGTCCTTAAATGCAAATTCTTTATTTTCTTTATTTTCAATTGTATCCAGTGTAAGAACATTTGGGAACATGAATTTCTTTCTTTCTTCAAAATCATATCGGAAATTCTCCTGCTCCGCAGGTGAACCAACGTGTTCATGTTTTAGTAATATAGGAGAACCAATCTTTTCATGCTTTATTGAGGTTTCCTGTTTTAATGTCTCTTCTTTCACTGACAATCTATCATTATGCTCGTGTCGTTCTTGGTCAGATTCTTGATGTTGTTGTTGTTGTTGTGATGGTGGTGGCTGATCAGAAGCTCGTCCTGGTAATCCAAGGTTAAGCCCAAAAGACCTACTCTTGCGTTTTCTAGGTAAACTTCTTACCGTACTAACAGCAGTAGACTTAGACAGGACATTAGTGCTGTTACTGGAACAAGTGCTGAAGGACGCATCACCCGTTCGTGTTTGTGCTGGACTACCAATGTGAGCCGACAATTTACTACGTAATGTGGCAGCACGCTTATTCTCAGGGAAGTCCAACTCATATACCCCTGTGATTTTGTATGATGAAGTCAGACTGGTATTGTTATGGTGATCATCGGTGAATTCACGTTTCAAAAACGTTGCGGGTGGTGTATGATTCATTTGTAACGGATGTATTGAATCAAATGCCATAATGGGGTTTTTATATGCTCATCAAGGATGCAGTTATAATGACTGGTAAAATGCAGAAAGTTATTAATGTGTATATGCTGGTAAGTGCTTATGACAAGTAAAAGAAGAAATTTGGTGTTTGTGGTTTGAAATCCTTTGCGCTTTTTGTTTACAATTTTTTCGTATCTATGTGGTACTGCATATAGACACGATCCTGTCACGGTATAAACAATTTTTTTTTGCACATTCAACTCACCCAAAAAGAATCATTAATTACACGAACAAAACAAGGTGTAATTAGAACTTGGTGCTAATAAAAGAAAAGTTCAATGACTTAAGTAAACATTGGTTATACTGAAAGTGCAGCTAGAAAAAAAAATAAAATTCAGTGCTCCACGGCAGGCTCGAACTGTCGACCTTCAGATTACACGTTGAAATAATTCAATATGAGACTGACGCTCTGCCAACTGAGCTAGTGAAGCCGAATTTTTTCAAAAAAATTTCCCTGTTTTTTTGGCTGTGTTTTATATCAAGTGGTAGCGTTGATTTTGACATTTTTCATATTTAGGTATTATTGTGAGGGGAACTAAGATATTTTGATTGTAAGTTATTCCAAGTGTGTGTTAAATTAGCCTAGTATGAAGAAATAGGAATAAACACTTTGTTTTATTGGTGTTTTCAACATTGAAAAATTGATGTAATTTTAGGGAAAATCTGGTAATTAATCTGTAAAATTTACCTGAAAATTGATGAAATCGTAAAATATTTCGTGAACTTATAGTACATTGTTGTAACATGTTGGATATTCAGAGTATACATATACCACAATTCATAGAACACTTGCCTGAACACTAATGACTACCTTGAACTGGGTATGGTTTTGTTCAAAAAGTTAATATCCGACGATCTTGCGCTTAACTCCTAACTTAACTATTTGCATTATATACACTTGCTATAAAGCTGTAGCATATATATAATGACACAAAGGTAGAGAAAAAATTACACAAATAGTTTATTACTCCTATTTCTCCTTTTTATTTGGCTAGACCTTCTGGTTAAGTTGAATCTTTCGCAGCAATTTTTCAAAACGTTACCCCTTTTTTTAAGTTAATTTTCGGAGCTAAAATTATGTACAGGAAAGTATGGCATTAAATAATATTCACCACGCCAAAGGTAATGGGCTTAGCCCAATTAGAATTCTACAATTTTTATATCTACTTTGAAACCGTCAGAGTAAAGAGTTTAATTTAAATACCAACAGTCTGTCCTGATCTAGATTAATCGATTCACGTGTTAGATAAAAGCTATACTCAGATATGTCGTTAGTTACAACACGTTCACCTTCCTTCTTGGAAAGGTTCCAGATTTGTAAAACTGTTTACAACTACTATTCCAATTTTGCAATTATTTCCGAATATTCCCATGAAATCGACCTGGCCAACCTTTCTCATGCCCTTAGAAACGTCATTCTTGCCAATCCTGTTCTTGGATACAACTTTTTCCGTGTTGAAGATGGTGATCAGGTTCATGATGGGAAGAACTTTAGATTGAGCCCCCTCAATGAAGTGCTTTTCTCCGATGTGGTTAGCGAAGAAAAGTTTGAGGTTGACTCTGAATTCTTGGAATATGTTAACACCATCCATTTCGAACTTGATACTCAAAAGCCGTTGTTTAAATGCATTGTCAATGGGAAGTATATTGCGTTAGTGTTCAATCACGCCTATGTTGATGGGAATAGTGGGACAAGTTTCCACAAGGATTTACTTCATGAATTGAATAAATTGGATGAGAAGGAAACATTGGATGTGCTCGTTACCAAATCTGAACTAAATGGGATCCCAAAATCAGTTGATGAGCTAACTACTCTTTTTCATCCTCCATTGTTATATACCCTTGGAGCATTACTCAAACGTTTCCTTGTCCCTACATGGCTTACTAACTTGTGGTACAAATTAAGTTATCCTAACTTATCCAAATATCCATTGTTCAGACATAAGACTATCCAGCCAAACACTGCGGTAAAGTATCGTATTATCAACATTCCAACGAGTGAATGCAAGTCAATTATTTCATATGCCAGACAGAATGAAACTACATTCACACCATACTTCACCGGATTAGCATTTGTCAGTTTCCAAAATAAAATTGCACCATTTCTTTCTGACAAACCAAAGTCCATGGATGCAACAATTGTAATTGATGGAAGAAGATACTATCCTGAATTGTCCAATGAGTTGAAATATCAAGGATGTGTCACGGCCTCGGACATCATTGTTGAACCAGTGACAAATCTTGGCGAGACAGTACGCTATATTACCCAGCTGTTGTCCAAGGATATTAAATCGCGGGAAAGATTCCATTATGTGGGATTGTTGAAGTATCTCAACATTTTTGAATTATATACGCTGAAAATCGGCACATTTGGCCGTCCAGTGTTTGAAGTTTCTAACTTAGGCCGAGTAAATGAACAAGGTGAAAAACTTGACATCGACCAATTATGGTTTACCCAAGATAACGGATTCCTGTCCATGATTACATTCTCCGTGATCTCCACCGCGAAGAAAGGAATGAATATCGTCATTGGATCACTGGAGGAATTAGAAGATATTAGAAACCCAGAAACAAACGAGAAATTAATGGATGAATTCACCACCGATTTGAAATCTTCATTAACTAACTATACAAAAACTCCTCTATAGTCTTTAAATCCAAACTAATAGTATATATATATATGTATAGAGATATAGGCACCTTAATTTTAAAATCCACCAGTCATATCCCTAATCTTATCCACTTCTGCTTGTAATGCCTTTAAATCATCCAAGATGTTTGACGTACTATCGTTGGAGCTAGCTTGGTACATTACTCCACTTTGCGGTACTTTTGGTGGTAAAGGAGGCGGAGTTACCACCAGAGCCAGCACCAGCGCCAGCATACTGGCATTACGTCTTCTTGAAGGGGGAGGCGGCGGAGGAACACGGGATAATGGAGACCTAGGAGGCACTGGGGGTGGACCACCATTAATTGTGCCTGGACTAGGAGAAGACGCCGATCTATGACGAATAGGAACTGGTGGTAAGGGGCGCGACAACAAGTTGTTCAGTTCTTGTTGTTGCCCAATTTGTGAGTTTTGCAATGTGTTTTCCATGGTGTTTCCCGTCATTTGGCTTGTAAATGATTGTAATGAAATCTTTGGTGCTTCAATTTCGGAATCGGTACTGCTACCAGGAGCAAATATCCTAGCCATGTCTGCCGGTCCTGTTACATTGGGCATTAATGGAGATACATTATTTTGAGTTCGGTTCAAGTATTGTGCCATTTGTGTAGGCCCTGTCATATTAGGTTGTAACAATTCAGGATCTGGAGATGGTGAGAACATCCTGGCCATTTGTGCCGGTCCAGTCATGTTTGGACGGAGTAAGTTTTCTGATGAATTTTGAAGATGGATGGATGATGGAACCCCACCAATAGATACTGTATCTACTGAATGTAAGTTCTGGAAATGGTTAATTTGTGATTCCATATCTTTAAGTATTTCTCGCTCTTCCTCTTCCTCTTTGAGTCGTTGCTGTTGTTGCTGCTGCTGTTGTAACTGCAGAAGAGTAGGCAATTGTGGGGCCAGAGGTGTTTGGGGAGCTTGTGGTGGTTGCTGCCGAGGAACTCGTGGTTGGTTCTTCATTCTATTCAACAATTGATCCATAGGCAAGGAATAGTCCAAATGGTCTTGAGGCTGGGGAGATTCTGCAGGTGAATTAACAAATGAATCGTCATGAATATCAACTTGATCAGAAAACTTGACTGATTTCAACTTCTTGGATTTTCGCTTCTTAGGTTGTTCATCGGGCCGTTCTCCAGTAAGCAAGAATTGGGTGAAACTATCTATATCCAATGGTTTATTGACATCTTGAACACTGCCATTACTATTAATTTCTGAGCCTTCATCATTAAGTATACTGTCGTTCGCATCATCATCATCATCATCATTCTGTCTTTTCTTGGACAAAATTGAAGGCGGTGCAGGTACAGGCGCAGCAACTGCGATTAATGCTCGACTTGGTTCTTTTCCTTGTAATGTATGACTAATCACTCGTAACAATGCAAAAAACTCCCCAATGTTAATGGAATACAAAATCTTACTGAAGATTCTATTGACTTTCTCCTTTATATCTTGAGGTATTTTGAAGTTATTCAAAAAATTATATACATCATTCATGGTGATTGTTCGAGAACTGGTCCGGGCTAGTATATCACTATACCACCTCATATAAGTTTTTGATTCCTGTAGAGTCAAATCTTGTGCTGTTAAACTTAATGGGATATAGTTATCATCTCTTTCGGATATAATTGGTTCGTTCACTGACAACGTTTGTGACATAATGCTATCGTGTCTACTTCTTCGATCAAGTACACTATCGTAACTATCACCGTATGATCCGTGGATCACGGCAGAAGCTAAGGCATGGCGGGAGTTTATATCGTCAACAGAGTTGTTTCTGTAAGATGATGGTTCTGGATATAAATGTGCTGAGGATGTATGTTGACGAGAAGGAGGGACAAATCCATTAGTAGTAGTACTTGATTGTTGGAAGCTAATCAGTGGTGTGGGCATATGTGGGGCGTTAGAATTGATGTTATAGCTGGCATTGTTGTTGTTGTTGTTGTTGTTGTTGTTGTTGTTGTGCGAATCAGACAGATCAAAACTGCTGTTCTGGTTTAGCCAGTCAAATCCAGGTCCATTCATTTGAGGCTAAATCAGGGTTGTTGTAAGTAAGAATGACGAGGGGAAGCAAATAGCGACTAATTCAACGTGGTATGAACAAAGAAGTATTTTTGAAATGTGGAGAAGGTATGGTAAGTCGCACACAAGACAATTAGCAATTAATGGATGATATATCTAGGGTTAACGAATAAGGCCGTAAGTTTATCAGAAATGGTTCGTTCAACCCAAAAGTTTACTTCCTTTTTTTTTGTGGTGGTGGTTTCTTTTTTTTTTTTCCCTTGACAAGGAGCGATTTTGGCGTACTAGATCTTTTTTTTTAATACGTCATAGTTAATAAAGTCATGAGCTTGGGGCGGAGGAATAAGAGGAGCAGTAAGTTCTAGCCAATAGCTAATGCATCCTGAAAGAAGTAGCTAAAATAAAAATTAAATTAAACACTAATTAATTATATTTAAACAAAATTATACAAACAAAATTATTTACGAAACCGTTTAATGTTGCATGGCCTCTTGTATTGCTACCGTGTCAATAATCCTTCTGTTACCAGTAACATTTGCAGAAACCGCTTCTTGACCAGCCCAATCGGTATCTTCATCTAAATCAAAAGGCTTATCCTTACCGGAAGGAACACTAGGGGCAATATTTGCAGTAGCCATACGTTCCACTTCTTGAGCCGAAGGCATAAAGATAACTCTTGTTCCTGGCGACTTAGCCATATTTTGCAATGCATCCAAGTATCTGATTTGCATAGCTGGTTTCAGCGCCAATATATCAGCAGCCTTTCTCATTAACTTGGCACTCTCAACTTCGGCCTTGGCATTAATGATCTTACCTTCACCAATTCTCTTGGCTTCGGCAGCCATAGATAATGATGATTGAACCTTATCAGGTAAGGTTAAATCTTTAATCAAGATTGATTCAATGTTAACACCCCAATCGAAGGCGGTCTTGGCAATTATTTGTTCAATTGATTCGGCAATTTCTTCTCTTTTTTCTACTACATCTTGCAAAGTTCTGCCACCAATAACATCACGAAGGGTGGTTTGAGTACGTTCAACAATTGCAGAATGAATATCAGCAATGGAGTAAATTGCCTTTTGTGGATCAATGATGTTATAATACACAACTGAAGTAATAATAACACTAACATTATCCTTGGTGAAACATTTCTGGGCTGGAATTTCTCTAATATTAATTTTGATTGAAACTCGAGTCAATTTTTCTGACCAGGTATTAACATACGATAACCCTGGTTCCACAGTACGGGTCAATCTACCAAATGTTTGCACTAACCCAACTTCACCTTGGTCCACTTCACGGTATGGATTCTCACACAAAAAACAAAACATCCCACATTTCCCAAATATGGATCCCAATCCAGAAATAAACGATTGGTATCCAGTCATTGGTGGAGATTCATAAGTTTTAGCAAAATTCTTAACTACCATATCTGGCTTCACCAATGGTTGTTCCCTAATGGCGTGTTTGTATGCGTCTGCATCAAATGAGTCGTTGGTTCTAGTACTTTCTTCCATTGCTTGAGCTGTATCTGTTGTTGGTTAAACAGGGAAAAAAAAAGAAAACTACTATTCGGTTTCGGGCTTGTATTTATAATTGAAACGCAAGAGGGAGTAAAATCCTTGGCGTTAAGCCTTACAATGAGAGGGGGGAGGGGGTCACGGTATGGGTTGCGATTTTGTATCATTTTTTCCGTTAAGAGGCTGAACTTTATTTTTTAATGTAATGGAATGCATAGGATAATAAAACGGGGTAGCGCTATTGCTCAACTACGTGGGACATTCCCTCCCCCCAAAATAGAATTAAGAACCGATACAGTGATCATGGATAGATCACCTTGATCTTATCAGTGCATTGCTATGACTCTCTCGGCATTAACCAATGCCTGGGGAAAAAAAAACAACATGCGTGCGGCATTTCATAGCCCCCTTTTGCGTGATTCGTTATCTTTTTTGCATAGTCTAAATCCGAGACAAAGAATGTAGGCACTTCATGAAGTAACACCACTTATCAACCAATTGGAAAGTGAAACAGAGATCATTCAATTTAGGAAAAGTCGGCTTTATTTTCAAGCAAGGCTGTGAATTATTAATTTAAACAATATACGATGAAATTTCACAAAAGCGGATTTGGTGCAATCTCGTAAAATCGCATAGCCCTTTATTCTTGTTGTTCTACGGACCGATCCTATTCCGTTGACAACTTAATCTTATCTGATTGCTTTCTACGCCTTGATTTTACGCTCGGTCAATAAATGGTAATTATAATTCTATATCGGTATCTGTGCATATGTAGTAAAAAAAACTAAAACAAACATCGCTCTTGATTTCCTATCCTAGAAATCACAACAGTAATTCAGCAATTTTGCCAACTAAATCATCATCCCCGCCTAAACCACCCACCAAATCAGCCAACAAATCCCGAGGATCTTCCAACCCAATACTCACACGTAATAATCTTCTACTAATGTGAGCATCAGTCAAGGCTCTCCATTCAATCAAACTTTCAGCACCACCTAAACTTGTGGCATGGTGGAACAACTTCAATTTAGAAGGCAATCTCTTGGCAGCATCTTCGGATTTCAACTCAATTGCAAACACTGGCGATTGACCCAAAGGCATTTGTTCCTTGATGTATGCATCAGTTTGTAAAGATCCATGATAGATAATGTCCAAATCAGCAAACTTACTTTTGTTTTCATTCAAGTACTTGACGATAAATTCAGCTGATTTGGATTGTCTCATGATTCTCAATTCAAAAGTTCTTAAACTTCTAACAAGTAAAGCACTTTCTAAATTACCAATATTAGTTCCCAAAACCAATCTATCACTTAATAATTTCTTCTTGGTTTCAAGAGACTTGGTCAACAAAATTCCAGCCAACAAATCACTATGTCCACCAAAGAATTTAGTAGCGGAATGCATGACAATATCAGCTCCAAACTTGAAGGGATCCATTAATGGAGGAGGAGCGAATGTGGCATCCACCGATAAAATTGCCCCTTTAGCATGGGCTCGCTTGGCATACTTTGCAATTTCTAAATTAACACCGTATGGGTTAACTGGAGTTTCCAAATGAACCAAATCACCTGGCTTAACGAGTTTATCAAATTCCTCATCACTACAGTCAATATCAAGTTTCTTTAATCCGTAGTTACGCTCCCAGATATCAGCAATCCCATGACAGCCATGGTATGCTTGTCCAATAACCAAGGTTTTGGGGTTGACTAAAGTGATCAACCCGTTGAATGCACCCAAACCGGAGTTGTAAGTGATGGCATGGGCACCAGTAATAGACTCAATGGTTTTCTCGACAATGGCTGCGTTAGGATGGTTTTCTCTCGAATAGATGTATTGACTGGATCCTGCAATGGTTCCTTCAAGATCACCAATGGCGACAAGTTCATCGGGATTGGACGAGTAACTAAACGTGGTGGAGATATTGATTGGTGGAATCACATCTGAGACTCTCTTAAGCGAGTCACCAGCATGTATAGACTTAGTTGAAAGATGCATTGTTGTGGAATAAGGAGAATGATTCGATGAGTCAAAAATTCCAACGGTTCTTATACGGTTCAAAAACAAAAAAAATATGCCCCGGTTTCGCAATTCGGTTAAAAATTTAGGCGCGCCACAGTTTCGGAATTAAATTGGATATTTGTGTAATTTACGATGCTAATTGATACGGATAAACGTATACGTAGGAGCTATTAGTAATACGAATAACAACATCTAATTAAGAAAATAAATAATTATATACCTATAGCTTGGTAGCATGCTCACTTGGTTTCATTCTTCTTCCTAATCTCGTTATCAAATACCCAACACATCCAAGGAATCTAAACAAGGCCATGAATGCCACGGTCCATAAGATAACCGTAAGGAAAACTCTTGCTCTGAACGTCTTGGAATCTTGTAAATGATCAATCTTTTCAAATTGATTAAACCCACCAGTTTGTAACACCAAGGCTACAACCACGAAGTTAGAAATCATCCAAATTAACACAGTCATGGATCTGACATAAGCATAATAGTCTTCATTACTTATTTCTGCTGGTTTATCATTCTTAGGAGCAGGATCACGAATCTTTTCTAATTGATTAAGATATGATTGATTAATTTCTTCCTTAAGAATAGGCACACTGACATCGAAAGTACCATCCTCTCTTAATTTAGCTTCACCCAAACTAGCACCGCCTGTGTCACCTTTAGTACCCCAGGAAACATCATCTATATTACAGAATGCATAGATATTAAGCACATTGATATAGGATGGTGACAACAAGATGTATTGCAAGAATGAAGTAAACATATGCCATGGTTCAAAATATAAGAACGATGCAAGGAAATACAAGGCATATGTTGATGCAGTTGCAACCACCAAATTTCTAAATTCGGCATTCTGAAAGAATAAACTCACCGTGATTTGCGTTTTATTGTCATATATTCCCTGGACTGCATGTACGGCCATAAATACGGCTGCAAAAATCATATAAGCCATAAGTATTGCAAAGAAAACCACAATCACAACATAAAATCGTTCAGTACCTTTTGGTTTATTACCAAAACTCAAAACAAATGTAGTAACCAATGATAACAAGTAAAGCCACAAGAACACCACGGAAAGAATATTACCAGGAGCAAAATTCAAATCAGGATCACCCAATGAAGTAGTCAAAATTCTAAACACAAGGAAATAAGACCCGATTGAAAACCATGAAACAACAAGATTAATAAATTGATAAAAGAACTCAATATGAAGAAAAATCTTTCTTCCAAATGAATGGGAACTTCTCCAAACCTTGGCAAAATGAACCAAGGCATAAATGGCGGCGAAAAACGACCCATTCAACCATCTTCTACGCTGAAGAATAAATTCAGCCAATTTATCAGGGACATCAGTTTCTGCTGAGGCAGATTTACAATATCTCAATAACCAATTACACCCTCTTTTTGCAACCAATTCGAAACACAAAATACGATCTTCGGCCAAGTACATATTCGAAGTAAAGATACCCGCTTCTTCTTTCATCATGGCTCGTTTCATTTCATATTCATCGTCATTTGGATCTAATTCCCCACTACTATGCAAGAATTCACCCTTGAAGTATTTTTCTAGCGGGCCAATTCCATTAACATCATTTTGTAATGCAACATATCTATAAGCTGAGAAAGCACCAGGTAAAACGGAAATAAATCCAAACACTGATTCAGTTGGTTTATCCAAAATATTTGAAATTTTATATTCAAAATTTTGACCATAAACAATTGGATTAGTAATCATTTGTCTCTTCTTTAAGGATGCGGTGATTTCCCCACAGGCACCAGCAACACGGTGATCACGATCAAATTCTTTCCATAATTTATAAAGAGATTTTCCAGAAGGTTGTGTACCACAATCTAATAACACAACAATTTTTGGATCCAAGACTTGTCCAATAGCTTGGAAACACCATCTATGAGAATTAATCTTTTTTGCATTAGTTTCTTTTAAACAAAACAACATCTGTACTGGGACGATTTTTTCAGTGGTTAATTTAACAGTTTCATCATCAACACAAGAAATACCAACCCTAGTGGTATATTCATAAATATGAGCTTGCACCTTTTTGTCATCAACCATACTTTTAGCTAACCCTTCTTGATAAACACCAAGACCGGCTAAAAGTGCTTGAGCACGTTCATTGATTTTAGTACGACCGTCACTGACAATACAAACCACGATTTTTTTCCAAGAATCCTTACCCCATACTGAAGATCTTGATTTTGATTCTAAATATTTAATATTTTTAAAAACACCTTTAAGAGTACGTCCTAATAATACATCATCTTCATTATACATGGTAATAACCACCATTAATTCGGTTTGTCTAGGAATAGGGTAATGTACTGGACGTAAAATATAAGCATCACGATAGAAGTTTGAAGGACCACAAGTCACTGCAGTATATCTCATAAAGGCAAATTCACGAGAAAGACCACCGTCTTTTTCATTTGGTTGATAATCAGGGAATTTCGACAATAATTCTCCAGCAACAGGACAATCCAAGACTAAATGACCATTTATACCACTGGCCTTGATTTGTTTCTTTGCTCTGACTTCAACTTGTTCTGGAGGTGGTTGGAAAGGTGGCACTGGAGGACCAAGATGCTCTTCATCATCACCAAATGGCGTCTCTGGCTCTTCTTCTTCTTCTAAGATTGTGCGGTCCAGTCCTAAATATTCACGATCGTCGTCAACATAGCTGACGGTGGCTAAATCGTAATGATCCCCTTCAAATCGATTATATTGGATATGTTGATCAAATTCACGTTCTTCGTCATCATATACATTAGGAACAAAAGCTTGATTATAATTATTATTATATCCTTGTCCAGTATATTCCATTTCGTAATTTTCGTGAAAGGGGTTTTCCTGTGCAGTTAGTCTAGAATTTGTGTCAAATATCGGACGATTATAATAATCATCAATTATGGAATGGCTCAGCGTGTCATAAGTAGGAGGAGGAACAGGATGTTGGAAATTGAGGGAAGTGGTCGAATTATTGAATGATCGTGATGGTGCGCTATTCTGAAAGTATGGGTTCCCAGTTAATGGGGAATTGTGATCTGTATATTGTTCTTCGTCATCCAGGTGTTGGGAATAAGTAGGTATATTAGGTCGGAGGTGACTATGATTATTAAAACTCATTTTTATCTTGCTATTAGTCTAGGTAAAAGAAGTAGTTCGTCAAAAGGGAGTAAAGAAGAAAGGAGTTAAGTTTAGCTCAGAATTGGCAACATTTTTAAATCAAGTTACAGACTAGACAAAAAAAAATAATTATAAATAAAACACGGTTTTCTTTTTTTTTTTATTTTTTCTTTTAATTATTTCTAAATTTAGTAAAAATAAATTTTGTGACCATAACCTGATACAATGACGTTTCATGAGCGGCGACATTCAGACAAGGCTTATACAGATACTAAGGTAGATGGATCACTTTTACGGGTCTTAAATGCTACTACAGCCACCACGATTTACTTGGGGTAGGTAGTGGGAATGTTCACCGTGTTGTCAAGACAATGTGAAATTTGTCCTATCGCACACTTTTTGTTTTGGGGGGAACAAGGCCATAGATGTTTCGAGATGGAATTTCATACAAAACCTCAAACATTTGGATTTCCCATTGATCTGGCTTTTGACAGTTTACGATGGGTCTCCATATTAATTTGTTTTTTTGCATAGCCTTTTTTTTTGTGATCTTGAAATTATAATAATAAAAAAAAAAGAAAACACTTGACTGTGCCCCCCCTGATAAAAAAAGAAATGAAAAATATGTCATTGTTTAATCTTAGTGGCAGTTGAAATAAGCCACTGCACTCCTGGTTTCTATGCCATTACTAAAACAACCATAAGCAGTCGTACTGACTAGAATTAAGATTATTTAATAAGATCAACTAGCGATTCTCCCGACACCTGCATATAATACTATGACGATCAGATTCGAGAAAGAGAGAAAAAAAATATATTTTTTTCGCGTCAATTTTTCGCGACTCGTCTAATTGTGATACTAGCAAGGGGGTGTTTTTGCTTGTGAGGAATTAACTTATTTCTATCAAAGACAATGCAGGTCATACAGATTTCAAATGTGGCTTGATGATTTGATTGATATTGTTATTTCCACATTTAGTAATTTAATTAATAGCATACACGAGTTTAGGTAAGGATTAGCTATTGATGGTGTGCAGGACAACCAGCGCTAACAATGGTATCGCAAGTATCAATGCCAGGCTTAAACCCGTCGATATAATCTCGCTTTAATGGAATCTGGAAAACATGCTATTTTAATGACTAATTCTCTCTTAGTGCTCTTTGCTGCAAACGGGTGCCAAGGAACAAAAGTTCTTTTCGCAGTAACTTCAAGAACTTGCTCATACCAACTTAGTTGCCAAGAACAACATCTAATCAAGTTGGAAACTCTACCTAGTAATTTCAGGTACTAGTTTCCCCTTTCATCCGTTTTAATAGCTCAATATTTATTTTTCATGTAGATGTCGGTAATTGCAACGATTAGGACTTGGAAAAACGGTTAGCGGCATCGATCGCAAAAAGAAACAAAGTGAAACCAACCATTTTTATTGAAGTCACACCGTAGAATTTAACTTAAATGGAAACCGCTAATAAAAATCTGTCCTAAAAAAAAAAGAAAAGACTTGCCATACCGGGCATCTAATGAAGTCATTCTGCATATTCATGTGAGGTTACGACTTCTGTCGAGATCACACTACTTTCCAACGGTGTAACTAAATAATTTGCATCCTATTTAATATGTCATTTAAGTCAAATATTTAAAAAAAAAAAACTGTGGTCAGTTTTTATCACCAATAATTATATGACTGGTTTACCAATTATGGGTAAGAAGTTCCTTCAGTTTTTACTCAAGAGAATTTTTGAGGACTTGGATAAAAGTCTCTTCGACAAGGTTAATCTACCTACAATTAAAGATTGTCAAGCTGGTAATTTAATTCCAGCAAAGTATATTGTTAAACCACCTACCCCACGATTTAAAAATCAACTATCACTATTCAATAGGTTCTTTAATGTAACTGAAGGTTTCCAATTAACTGAGGTCAACTACAAATATGTCATTCACTTTTTTGAATATCAATATCTAATATTAAAGAAACCTAAAGCTGAATTACTAACAAGGATAGAAATCTTGGATATGCTATGTTATTTGGCTAAACAAATTCCACCAGAAAAGATAGTAATTTGTGAATTAAAGACAGTTTTAATCCACATGTATAACAAAAAAAGATTTATGAATGAGGTTATTTCCTTTATGTACAAGTATCCCATATTGACCAAGTATACCATTGATACTTCATTGGCTATGTGTTATGCATTTGAAAAGTTCAAGTATCCAATCCTTAACGATTTAATTAAGAACCTGAAAGCCAAGGATAGTCGATCATTACATGATTTTATATTATTTTATTTCCACCAGCTTATGGAAGAACAAAGTGAGAGGTTGCCCAATTTAATCGATATAATTAAGAAATTTGTAAATAGATTTATTGTTCTTCCCAAAGAAGTCGAAGAGCAAAAGTTGGTTGACATGTTAAATGAGCTTTCCTTGATTTCACTCAATTCCAGTGAAATTATTTCACTTTATGGGAAAAGCTTAAAAGAATTTTGCCAAAGACGAGGTACTTGTTGCCTTTAATCCCCTGGGGACCCTTCATTTTTGTTTCTACAGTTGCACCCATTTAAATAATATTATTAAATGTTTGTTCGTGTTTAGAGATTATATAGATGTAATGATTAATGAATATTAGTTAGTCTGTTTACTTAACTGTTTTTATGGGGATACGGCTGTTCCGATGGAGAAAGGCTGCTCCGCAAGTTGCTGCAAATGCATGGATCTGCCAGTTATCATGCATGTAAAAGCTCGTAAACTTGAAACAACAAAGTTCCGTTTCGGGAGCTGCTTAATTTGGAATATCCGAACGCTTGCATATTCCAACATATCATATCTATAGCTAATATCGCTATTCAATAAATTGTTATATATCAAATTTTTTGATTTATAATGTATAACCCGTAGTTTCATTTGCATTAAGCTTCACCATTTTTTCAAAGTCCTGTAACAATTTGACAAAAATTCAAACATACATTCTTGCAAACTTGTCACACGTCAAAGCCGTAAACCTACTAAAACTTTTATGTAATCCAATAAAGAAGACCGTAAACAGTACTAAACACAAGCACAGACCTCCAAGCATCAAGTTGGAACATTTTTAAAGGTTGAAACTCGGCAAAACAGACAGGTCCTTTAAACAAATTTGATGGAAATTTACGGCAACTTGTCCGAGCGGTTAAGGAGAAAGACTTGAAATCTTTTGGGCTTTGCCCGCGCAGGTTCGAGTCCTGCAGTTGTCGATATTTTTTTTTAAATACACTCTAGGTATGCTTGCTGATATATTATGATTGATAGATATAGCTTGTTGCGTTGAATCCAGAATGTTTCCAGACCTAGATGCATAGTAATAAAAATATTTTTTTTTTTGCAACCGAAAAAAAAGTAGTTTATTATGTGAAGCAAATCGATGCGAGGAAACTCAAGCTATCTACTAATAGACCAAATAATCGGATAAATCTTCAATTTCTATAAATTATATATCTATTGCATCAAAGAATCTTCAAGGTGTTCATTATATCTCAAACCCCTGATTGGGTTTTCTTCAAAGATCTTATCAATAGCTTGTAAGTCTTCATCAGTTAATTCAATAAAGTTCGAAAAGTTAGAAGTGACTCTAGCAGTAGTGGATCCACTTGGGATTGGTAAGATATGAGTGACTTTTGGAATGCCTTTGAAGTTTTCTTTGCCAGAAATTTTCAAGATCCAGGAGAGAGCCAAAGTTTCCAAAGTGGTCTTCTTGACATTATGAGCATAATCGTACAATTTCTTAAGAGCGACTAAATTGTGCTTAAAATTGTCTGGTTGGAATTTGTCCAAGTAAAGTCTGAAATCACCTTCTGGAATTTCATCAAGGAAAGTGTCGGCATGTTCAACACAATAATCAGTTAAAAGACCACGACAAAGTGGAGAATAAGCAATCAATGGGATCTGATGGGCGGATAATTCCTTCAATATACCGGTGTTGATGACTTCTGGGGAAAACAAGTTCAATTCCAATTCAACACAAGAAATTGGGAAAACAGTTATGGCTTTTCTGATTGATTCAATCCCGACTTCAGAAAGAGAAATACCATCAATAGTACCATTCTTAACAAATTCAGCTATGTGACCCACAGTTTCTTCGTAAGGAATACTAGTATCAACTCTAGCAATTTCAAAAATAAGCTTAGGACGGTTCTCCTTTGGGAAGTAAGAGGCAATATTTTCAATTGATCTCTTGATACTTTCCCTACCACCATCTGGACGTAAATCTGGACCAACACCACCTTTAATAGAAACAATCAATTCCTTATTAGCTTCAGGGTCGTTAGAATCCAAGAATTCTTTGAAAAGTTTCAAATTGGCATCATCAGGTCCATAAAATTCACCACCATTGAGTAACTTGGTACCAAATTCTTTATGGGAAGTGACAAACTTTAAAGTTTCAATGGATTGCGCAGTTGGTGGAGGAACTGGCTTCCAAGTCATGGACATGGTACCGAAACCGAATCTACCAGGAATGTTAACAGCAGTATAGGACATTGTGTATATTGTTTAAGTTGTTTAATTATGTTGATTAAAAAAAATTTGAAGAAGAAAGACGAAAGAATTATCCATTATTTATACTTTTCCGTGGTTCGTGGATGGCTCTGAGTGGAGACGTTTTCAAAGACACAAAATCTTGCTCCATTGTCTTCTAGGTTGCGCTTGTATTCCGTCCCGTAACTAAAACATCGCAATTACCCAATCGGGAAGCAATCACCGAACTGTACATCCTTACCGCAATAGTAAACTCAAGATTTCTAGACCGAGCCAAATTTCATCTCCATCTCGACTCGAGCAAAGATATTCCGAAAACAATAAAGATCTAAATTCACTAAAACCCGTCTGTGAAAAGTTCGGGGATTGCTATGATTTAAGATTATTAGTAAGGCAAAATTGCCAGAACTTGATTAGTAATGCTGGAAGAACATGTATTAATGATTGTCTAGATACGAAGAGAGAAAAAAGTTTGGCGTTAAACTTTATAATGCTATTTACAAAGGGTAAAATCTTAGAAACAAAAGACATTTTCACTTTCCCATCCCATTTCTTCAGTGATTCCCTTTAAGGATTCCTTCATTTCTGGAGGACCACAGATAAACACCTTATTTCCTTCATTAGCCTTAGGCAATTGTTTTTCCAACATTGCACGATCAACATATCCAGATCCCCCAGTCCAACCTTCAGTTGGATGAGTGACAGTATAGTAGACTTCAAAGTCAGGATACTTGCTTGCTATCTCATCAATTTCACTCTTCAACAAGATGTCCTTTTCAGTTTCATTACCGAAAATCAACTTAATCTTGGTATGGTCATCAGGATTAGTGATGATACGAGTGATGACTTGCAAAATAGGAGTGATACCTGTTCCACCAGCAATCAAAACCAACTCACGAGCCATGTTAGGCTTATAGTCGAGTTTTCCAAAAGGTCCTCTAAACTTGACAGTTTGACCTTCATTAATTTGGGCCAATCTTCTAGTGACAACACCATGTTCGTAATGCTTGACTAAAATATCAAAGAATCCAGAATCGAACTGATTGGAAATTGGAGAATAATATCTGATTTCGTCCTTACCGTTAATATTGAAACAACAAGCAACGTGATGGCCAGTAGGTATGTCTAACACTTCATCATCTCTTCTCAATTTAAAACGGTAGATTGATGTCATAGGAGCAATGATAGTCTTGTCCATCAATTCGAAATCTTGCCAAATTGTCTTGTGCAAGGAGGATCTATTCTTGTAAGCTTCATAATACTTTACGGTACAAACAATGACAATGAATGCAATACTGTAGGGCATGTATTCCCAGCTAAAGATCCAGGTTCCAAACAAAATCAACCCTATAGGGATGTATATGGAATGAACTGGATTCTTGAGCAATTCTCTCTTATCTTCCATGATTACTAATGCCTGTATCCAAAAAGAAAGAAGTAAACGAAAATTAATAACCGACAATATTTATTTGTCAGATGGTTTCTAGTCGAAGGGAGTGGAAAAAAAGAAATGCACAAAACGGTTCGGCTGAAGATATTCAAAACCAGTACACGACCTTTTTTTTTTTGATTTGAGCTATTTAATTTTTAACCGTGTTGTCAAGTAAACTACAGATCTTAACAAGAGCATATATATGTATCATGCTATAAATAGATGATAAAAAACTATAAAGACTATCTATAAGTATCATAGATATTAAAAGAACCAACCACATAAAAAAAAGACTAAACATTGATTTCCATAAAAGAGAATAAAAGAGGGAGAGGGTATAAACATTAACGAAAAGTAGAAACCTAATATTCTTCTTCTTCTTCTTGGAAAGAATCAGTTCCAACTTCAATATAATCTCTTTCTAAAGCAGCCAAATCTTCTCTAGCTTCAGTAAATTCACCTTCTTCCATACCTTCACCAACATACCAGTGAACGAAAGCTCTCTTGGAGTACATCAAATCAAACTTCTTATCAATTCTTCTCCAAGCTTCAGCAATAGCAGTAGTGTTGGATAACATACAAACAGCACGAGAAGCAGCAGCCAATTCAGATCCAGAAGTGGCAGTAGGTGGTTGATAACAAATACCAATCTTGAAACCAGTTGGACACCAATCAACTAATTGAACAGTCTTCTTGGCCTTAACTTGAGCAACGGCATTTTGAACATCTCTAGTAACAACATCACCACGGTATAACAAACAAGTAGCCATATACTTACCGGCCTTAGGATCACACTTGACTAATTGGTTTCCTGGTTCAAAACAAGATTGGGTAATTTCAGACACGGAATTAGCTTCATGAGTAGCTCTGGTCTTGGAGAATACTGGGGCGTAAGAAACTAATGGGAAATGAATTCTTGGGTATGGGACCAAATTGGTTTGGAATTCATTCAAATCAACATTTAATGAACCATCAAATCTTAAAGATGCAGTAACTGAGGAAACAACTTGAGCAATCAAATTATTCAAGGAGCTAAAGTTTGGACGGGAAATATCCAAGTTTCTTCTACACATATCATAAATGGCTTCATTGTCAACCATAAAGGTACAATCAGCATGTTCTAATGTGGTGTGGGTAGTTAAAACGGTATTATATGGTTCAACAACAGAAGTGGAAACTTGAGGAGCTGGATAAACAGCAAATTCCAATTTGGATTTCTTACCATAATCAATAGACAATTGTTCTAATAAAAGAGATCCTAAACCAGAACCTGTACCACCACCCAAGGAGTGAGTAAATAAGAAACCTTGTAAACCATCACATTGATCAGTCATTCTTCTAACTCTGTCTAAAACATCATCCAAGATTTCTCTACCAACAGTATAATGACCTCTAGCATAATTGTTGGCGGCATCTTCCTTACCAGCAATCAATTGTTCAGGGTGGAATAAATCCTTGTAAAGACCAGTACGGACTTCGTCAATGACATTTGGTTCTAAATCAACATACAATGCACGTGGAACGTATTTACCTGATCCAGTTTCACTGAAGAAGGTTGAAAAACCTTCTTCACCACCCTTTGGTCTGGTTAATCCTTCTTGTAAATAACCATCTGGTCTGATACCGTGTTCCTGAGAGTATAATTCCCAACAAGCATTACCGATTTGACAACCTGCTTGACCGACTGAAAATTGGATGTTAGTAATTTGACGTTTGTTTTGATTTTTTTTTATTTTGATCCTGATTTTAACGACGTGTCAGGCGGTTCTGATCCGGCGATATATCAAGTCAATCCTTTAAATCTAAAAGTGAAATCCATCATGATGTTGTACATACCGTTGATACTGATAACTTCTCTCATTATAATCGATTATTTTAACTTCAATCTTAGTGTGAAAGGAGGAAGAAAGATAAAATTTATTTGTGTTTTTCTGAATTTTGTCTACACATTTTTTCTCTTTTGCCCGCTAGGGTTTGTTTACATTTCGTTTCAGACAACCAGGATTATATGCAGGAGACAATTAAATTCGTTTATGTTGATTACCATAATAGGTAATGGCTAGCAAAAATGTACTACATAAATACTAGCAATCCTATATTTGCAACCAATAACTAAACAGTGCAAATGCGCCTTCTAACTCTATAAAAATATGTCATGCTGTGATGGAATTGGCCAATAGGGTGATAATGAACATTTACACTTTATCCCATAAAGTTAAAGACGCGTTAGCCGCACTAAATTGAAGTGAAGAATGGTACATGAATAGATTTGAACCTGTTATATATCACAAGCATATTAGTAAACAACCTATTCTAATATACATCCCTCTACCCCCCATTGGATGGCTCTAAGCTGGGCAAATTGCATTGAAAAAGCTGCCTTGTCCCATTCAAAATCTTGCAGTAAAGTACTAGACTTCTCCCGCCAAACTTGTGTTTTTATTTAATCCTCGTCTATTCTATTGTCTAGACAATCCAACCAAGCCTTTCCAATAGATCTAAAATTGATCTTCCAACTTCTTCCTTCAAGATATACAGCAGTTTTGGTAACACATTGCTCACATTGCTCACATTGCTACCTGTCAATGCCCATGTGCATTTGAACTTGCACGGGCTCGAATCCAACTTGAATTTAAAACCAAACGTTTGGGTAGATATAAGGTTAACATAGGCAATTCTTACAATAATGGCCCCATGAACCGCAAGGGCTACTACTGCATGCGACCGTTGTAGCAAAGTTGAAATTCCCAACAGATTTACTGTCTGTCGGTTAAATTATAGAACAAACGCTCGTAATTATAAATTAGTTGCAGATTCTTTCCAGATGCAGCAGCTACAATGTGTTTAAAACATGCCTTTATTTATTTTTTTTATAAATATAAATATATATACTATAGATTTTACATTAGCAAGCTTAATTCTTAACAGCATACTTTCTTCTGAATTTGTCATCAATTTCTTCCAAGTAGTAAGTACCTTGACTCAAGTTTTCAATGGAACCAGTTGGAACAAAGCTCTTTTGCAAGTGAGCAGCTTCTCTTAATGCAATAGCAGCAATAAATTGTTCTGGAGATTCAATCTTTCTACCTTCACCCAACTTGTAGTCAAAGTCCAAAACCTTGGTGATCTTGGAGATATCACCGACAACTCTGACGGATAACAAAGTAGAAGCTAAACCGGAACCATAGGAGAAGATACCAATACGCTTGTCTTGAACATTTTCAGAACCAACATAGTATAACAAGGAAGCCAATGAAACCCAAGCGGAAGCAGTGTACATGTTACCAGTGTTGGTTGGGACTTGTAAAGCTGGTTGAACTCTTGATTTAGTTTCTTCCTTGGCCAAAGTGACAAAGGTTTTTTCCAAAGTCTTGTCAACTAATGATTGTTCATAAGTTAATGCATCAATAGCGGCTCTGGTTTCTTCAGGAATTAAAGAAGCAAACTTTTCTGGATTGGCCAAGTAGTCATTGTATAACAATCTGGCATAGGATTTGGTAACCAACTTACAAGTTGGAACGTGGAAAGCATTGTAGTCAAAGTGGTCGTAAACACCAACAGTCTTACCAGAATCCTTGGTGTATTTCTTGGAGTAATTCTTGTAACATTGATCAACAGCCTTGACATAACAAGCTAATGAGAAGTGACCGTCAACAACTGGATATTCACTGGTGAAATCTGGCTTGTAGAAATCATAGGCATGTTCCATAAAAGAGCCTCTGATTGGGTCGAAAACAATAGGAGCATCAGGACCAATTAAAAGGGCAATAGCACCACAACCACCAGTTGGTCTAGCAGCACCTTTGTCGTAAATGGCAATATCACCGGCAACAACAATAGCATCTCTACCATCCCAAGAAGAAGATTCCAACCAGTTAATGGCGTTAATGATGGCAGAAGTACCACCATAACAAGCGTTAATGGTATCAATACCTTCAATATCATTGTTACCTGGGAATAATTGCATAAGGACAGACTTGACGGATTTGGACTTGTCCAACAAGGTTTCAGTACCAACTTCCAATCTACCAATCTTGTCGGTATCAATGTTGTAGTTTTTAATTAATTTGCTTAAAACAGTCAAGGAAATGGAGTAAATATCTTCTCTGTCATTGACGAAAGCCATGTTGGTTTGACCTAAACCAATGGTGTATTTACCAGCTGGGATGTTATCAAACTTTTCCAATTCAGTTTGGTTAACGGCTTGACCAGGAATGTAAACTTCAATAGCCTTAATACCAATTTTTTGTTGTGTCATGATGATTATTAGTTATGGAGAAATGAATAAATAGCAATAATAAAAGAGAGACAAAGATCTTTTATATTAATCAGAAGAAGAAGAAAGAAAGAAAGAAAGATGAAAAATTGTTGCCAAAAATTTCTGTAACCTTTTTGTTCGCGCAAACTCGCTTGGTTGTAAAAAAAAAAAACTGTTTGTGGTCGCAGTTAAACGACCACTTGCCCAGATGGTCGTTTAAATCGCCCACCCAAAAAAAAAGAAAAAAAAATTTGGAAAAAGAAATAACAAAAATTTTTTTGTTGAACGCGTTTCAAACTGTGTAGTATATGCAGTATGTGTGATTAAATTAATTAGTTTCAGCCACTTCAAGCGTAGGAGAGGAGAACTTAGAATTACTTGAAAGAGAGAGTAGAATTGAGGGCATTTCAAATTTCTACTCATACTACGATCGTACCTGCAATAGACGAATGATACGATGTTCGTTAGCTAAGCCAAGATATTCTCTTGCATATAGTTTAAATTGTTATTTTTGGTTGCAGAGGGGATGCGTTACTAGGCATTAATTCTTAGCCGAGTTCCAACTTCCTTGGTACCAACAGGGTATTTATAGGTGCCTACAACGAGATTGGCCAGAAAAATAATCTGGTACGAGATTTCTTGGTAGCAATTGAGGAGAATGATCAGATACATTTAGGATATCTCGGGGTAACAAAGGAATCTTTTCATCTGAAAATGTCAAAATTATGGCCGAGGACGTGGGATGCATGCAGAATATTGCAACAGAGCGCAATACAGTGGAGAAGGAGGGGGAGGGGGGGATACTATTGCATTATGTCGACCTTGATGTTAGCGCAACATTCTCTCTAAGAACACTTTCAAGCGATACTAACGTCAAGCTGATACTGTTTCTATGAATTCTTTGATAAAATAGTTAAAAATTAGATTATCTATGATTTGTCATGTCCTCTTCTGATTATAGTATTTAAAGAGCTCTTTGCTTTGGAATAGTTGGATATAAGGTTACAGACAAATAAGGAAATCCACAATGCAATTTCCTGTAGGTAAATGTTTGTAAGACCAGGGTTGGTGCAAATTATAATCAAGGGATACTGGTTGACAATTCAGTTTGTAGACCTCCCCTCCCCGACTGAACAGAATTATATAGCGCGAGATAATAGCTAGCTACGTGTGGCTATGCCTCGCCATTTCACTTGCAAATTGCAACAATCAAATTCTCTTTGTAGTTCCGACTATCAGTTTCGGAAAGATTTCCCGATTTCGCATTCAAAATCCAAATGAACAATAAAACGTTGGCGTTTCCACCGAACCTCGGAAATAAACCCGAGATGATATTCTGGAAAGCCATACGATTTTACAAATATTATATATATATATTAATAAGCGAATTCTTTAGCACACTCTGCAACCCAGGAAACTAAACCAACTAACTCGTCATGTCAATCCCTGACCTGCTTCAGCCTTTTGTTACCCACAAAGTGTTCCATTCTACTTGGGCAGGGACTTTTTTTTGCAAACCCCAAGCATATTTCCAACCACGTAATGTTGAAGAAATCAAAGAGTTGATCAAACAAGCCAGAATCAATGGGAAAACTATCATGACTGTTGGTTCAGGCCATTCTCCAAGTGACCTTACCATGACTAACGAATGGCTTTGTAATTTGGATAAATTCAACCGTGTTATCAAACAAGAAGAATTTTACGGCGCTTCAACCACCAACCCGGAAGAAAAGGAAGTTAAGTTTGTTGATTTAACTGTAGAGGCTGGGTGCAGAATCTTCCAATTGAATGACTATTTAAAGGGACATAACTTGGCTATTCAAAATTTGGGATCAATCAGTGAACAATCCATCGCAGGATTAATATCTACCGGTACTCACGGGTCTACCCAGTATCATGGTCTTGTTTCTCAACAAGTTGTTTCAATTACATTCTTGGACTCTGCAGGTCAATCAATCACCTGTTCCTCAGTGGAAAAACCGGAAGTTTTCAGAGCAGTTTTGTTGTCCTTGGGTAAAATCGGGATCATCACTCACGTTACCCTTCGTACTTGTCCTAAATACACCATCAAGTCTAAACAGGAAATCATTAAGTTTGAAACCTTGTTACAACATTGGGACACTATCTGGTTAGATTCTGAGTTTATTCGTATTTGGTGGTTCCCATATTCTGAAAGATGTATTTTGTGGAGAGCGCTGAAATCCGACGATCCATTAAGTGATCCACGTCCTTCTTGGTATGGTACCAAGTTTGGTCGTTTCTTTTATGAATCATTGTTGTGGATTTCGGTTCATATTGCGCCATGGTTTACTCCAATTGTCGAAAAGTTTGTCTTTAATCAACAATATGGTAATGTTGAAACTTTAGGTAACGGAGACATTGCCGTGCAAAACTCCGTCGAAGGTTTGAACATGGATTGTTTATTCAGTCAGTTTGTCAATGAATGGTCTGCTCCATTAGTTGAAGGACAACAAGTTCTTCGTGAATTGAAGGCCACTATTGACAATGCTAAACAAAACAATGAATTCTATGTCCATGCTCCAATTGAAGTCAGATGTTCCAATGTCACCAATTCAAACGAACCATTTATAGATGAAGAAACTGGCGAACCATCATTATACCCACCTAAGTCTTGGTTAGCCAAACGTGACAGATTGAGTGCTGGACCTATCCCCGGTAACAACTTGCGCCCATACTTGGACAATTCTCCTAAATTACCATACGCCGGTAAAGATGCACCAGTTACCAATGACCAATTAACGATGTTCATTAATGCTACAATGTACAGACCATTTAAAACCAATGTGGAAACTCATACTTGGTTCCAAAAGTTTGAAGATATTATGCTGAGAGCTGGTGGTAAGCCACATTGGGCCAAGAATTTCATTGGTATTGAAGAAGAAGGTCAAGATAGAACCGATGACTTGAAGACTCAATTGGAATTCGGAGGTAAGAAGTTTTATTCCATGATTGGATTCAATCCAGTTATGAAGGACTGGTTTGGTGAAGATTTGATCAAGTATAATCAAGTTAGAAAGCAAACCGATCCTGAAGGTGTGTTTTTGAGTGGGAAGATTTGGGCTCAAAGAAACGGGATTTTATTGGACGTTTAGATATTTTGTTAGATATATTATTATACACTTCTATTTAAATGGCGCCTTTAAAGGATCTATAACTGTACCTTGCTTGACAATAACTCTAGGCATGGTGAGTTTTTGATGTGTTTCTCTAGAGGTCCATTGTTGACCCACAGGCATTCTCAAAGATCTTTCATATTGTTCACGAGATTCAAATGGATATGGAACTTCACTAGATTGATATTTCAAATTCTTTTTATTGACACGTTCATTAATGATAACATTCTTTAAATTCTTATCCTTTCTCTTGTCCTTTTGGACAACCCCATCGACTTTCCTTACAATCTTTCTCTTTTTAGATTTCTTATTCGAACCACCGGCCCAATCACCCCAACCAGGCATGGACAAATCCTCTTCGTAATCGTCTTCATCTTCAATGACTCGTTTCTTTTCAGCTTCGAATTCAGAAACTACGTCGTCTCCTGCAAATGCTTGTTTGATTAAGTCCTTTTGAGTAAACATTTTTGGAACATCTTCATCTTGTTCTTCTTCATCACCAGAATCATGGATTCCTGAAGATACAGCAAGAGTGTCATTCATATCAATCAATGCTTCTTGTGTACGGTTATTATGTTTCTTTTGCTTTTGTTTGGCAAGCTTAGCAGCTGCTTTAGCTAATTTGGATGATTCCTTTTCTATGGTTGTTACCTTGGTGGATTTTTCAGTTTGGGTAGTGGTTGTGGATAACCATGGATTCGAGGAGTCTTCTTCTGGTTCATCTGTGCTTGCAACTGCTTCATTGCTGGCTATTTTCTTGGTAAACTTGCTGGATAACTTGTTAGTCAAAGATTTAGCTTGATCTTGTTCAACTTGTTCATGCACGGTTCTGTTAATTTCAAGAATTTCTTCTTGGTTTGTCGTTGGGACATATACTCTTCTTCCTTGGTTCTTAGTGACATTGACTGATCCATCATCTTCATCAAATAATTCCAAATCGTCCTTTTTAAGCATGGCCAATTGTTGCAAGTTTTCTTGCTTTGCTCTTTCCTCAGCCTTTTTCATAAAATCCATACCCATGACACCCTTACCGAGTTTACTCCTGACAGAGTCATCTTCGTCATCCTGGTCATATTCTCGTTCTATATCTGATACTTCATCATTACTCTGTTCACCATCTTCGAATCCCATTTGTTTAGCTCGGAGTTTTTCACCTTGACGCAACATTTCTTCAAGCTCGGCACGATTGTTGGCATCCTTAGTTAAACCACTCTTAATCATGGATTTGGCCCAACTGGATTGGGTTTTGTGTTTCAAGGTCATTCTTTCACGCGCACGATTCAAATCGTGATCTTCAGTGTCTTCGTCATCAGACTCAACCAATTCTTGATTTCTCAATCTTTCCTTCTTTTTGATTTTGTGATATTGCTTAGACTTAATCTTTTTGATACGTTTGGCTCGTTTTTCATCTCGGAACATTAATTCACGCATAAGTCTTAACTCAGCGGTTCTCTTCTTCATTTCCTCCGGTGATAACTTGGCTACAGCAATTTCTTCAAAAGTAGCTTCCTTGGAATCGTCAATCAACGCAGACTGTTTCAATACTTCTTGAACCTTGACTTCTAAATCGGTGGTTGGCACAACATCGCTTCTGAATGTAGTGGCAGTGTCATGGATTTCTGGTTTGTTCATGGGAAATTTCAACACTTCTGCTTGACGGTTGGACTGAACAGTGTCCTTCCATTTATCCACTTCATCCTTGGCAAGTTCATATGCAGCAGCACGGTCGTGACGCACTTGGATACGTTTAGGAAGCGGAGTTTCCAACAGTTTAGATTCAGAGTCAATAAGAATAGCATCTTGATCACCACCATCTACGGCAGAAATCATGTCTGCCAACGAAAGAGTGGCTCCTCCTGCTGTTGGAAGGTTATACTCGTTTTCTTCACGGGATTCCACGATTAATCTACGTTTCTCCTTGGGTATTTTGATGGTAGACTTCAACCGAGACACGGTGGATGTTAAGTTGACATCGTCTTCTTCTTCTTCTTCATCATTGGCAAAGATGTCTTCTTCATCAGACTCTTCTTCTTCTGACTCAGACTCTTCCGAAGACAGCTCTTCTTCAGATTCAGATTCCCAGGCATCATCATCCAAGACAACTTCGTTAGGCTTGGAAGCTTGAGTCTTTTGTAAATCACGATCATCCATGTCCCAGGCTTCTGACAAGGTAACCAACTTACTTTCATCAATACTGGCGTATCCTTCATCTTCGCTTTCTTCATTTTCACTCAAATCCAACTTGCCCAACTTCTTCTTCTTGGCCTTGTCTCTGATACTTTGGGAGAACTTGGAATTCAAAACATCATAGTCGTCATCAGACCCTAAGGCTTCATCCGAATCTAATTCTTCATCCTCGAAATCTTCAGGGGCATCCTTGACGAATCTACGAGCATCAAGAATACCATCATGGACTTGGAGATCGTCATCGGAGCCATAATCAGACCCATCTTCACTGTTTGCGTCGGGGTTTTGCGCACGTTCTGCTATTTGGAACGCATCGAGGATCTTACGATTGCTTCTCTTCTTAGAAGACTTCTTCTTTGGTGGCATAGTGGGTGATTGTGATAGCAAAAAGATAAAGAGAAAAGTGCTGCCAAATTTTTTTTCTATGTTTCTGCGATGGGGTTAGTTTTAGTGCGACCTTAACTATGGGAGTGGTAACTACGGGAGTGGTAACTACGGGAATGCTACCCATGTGTGACTAAACTACCAAGCTGGTATCTACTTATGCTTATTCAACGCTGTTTATTCTATGTACTACAAAGAATCTAAAGTATCATTTATTTCTTCAGCAGATAACTTCCTAAATCTTGGACCTTCAACACTGGTTCCCTTGAAACCCAACAACTGGGGTTGAGGATCACTTATAATAGCAATATCCAAGTTCTCACCAGTTAATTCACCTTCAACTGCTTCCTTCAATGCCAACAAAGCAACATGGATAGCATCTTCCAATTGCAAGTTCTCATTCCATCTCTTTTCCAAAAAGGTCTTGGCTGAGTTTGAAGTCTTTCCAATAGCAGTTGCCTTCCAAGGGAAATAACTTCCCGAGGGATCAATTTGGTATAGTTGGAACACTTCCGAGTATTCATCGTATCCTCCGACCAACAAGGAAACCCCAAATGGTCTTATACCCCCGGATTGGGTGGATTCTTGCATAACCTTGGCAATCTCCTGAACCATGATCCTTACCGGTGGATATTCGTTGTAAATTCGTTTATAGTTGGTGTGGGCTAATTTACGGGCCTTGTCGACCAACACTCTGAAATCTGGTCCCATACCACTATAAGTCATACCAATGCTAGGAGTGATGTATTCTACTTTAGAACTGGTTTCGGATTTTATCAAATGGGAATTGGATTTACGCTCAGTGGCCAAAACAACACCATTGTCACATTTGATTCCAATGGTGGTCACCCCTTGTTTGACAGCATTCAATGCATATTCAATTTGAACTAATTTACCACTGGAGGGGCACATAGGTTAGTATATTACTTGCTTCGATGCAATTGCGCGATGAAATGTATCAAACATACCTTGGTGAGAATGTAGTTAACGAGAATGAATATCTATCAGCCATGGTGGTCTATGTTTTGTTATCTGTGTATTGGTTGTTGTTGAAGGGTAGTTTGGGTTTTTGCCTTCGAATGAAAAAATTGGGTGTCGCACATTTTGTAAACGAATTTACATTCCAAAACACGCTACCATGTGAACAACCTTTATCCGACCATCCATAGTCAAGTTGAGCAACAAACTGTTCTTCTGCATTGGGGGATGGGGGAGAGGGGTTCCTCACAATAAACAATTAATTAATTATCTAATTTCTATAAACTATCTAATCTTCTTCTTCATCGTCAGTGTCCGGTGGTCTTGGAGTACCCTTTGGACTACTCAACCATTCAAGATATCTCAACCTTCTTCTTTCAGCTTGAACCTTCTTTTCATTTCTAGTCATCTTCTTTTTTCTAGTTCTGACCTTAATGTTAGCTGGGGAATCGTCGTCATCAGCTCTCTTTGGAGCCGGAGTAGGTGCTGGAGAACCCTCCTTCAGTTCTGCGCCATCTTCGAATCTGTTTGCATCAACACCAACAGTACCCTTTTGCACAACTTCACCATCCTTGATATGCCATTGTTCGGGACACAATGCACCCACGAATTCACTATTATGGGAAATCATAACCACCCCACCATTCCATTCTCTAATGGCAACAGCTAACCCACCGAGGGAGTCACGATCCAAATAATTGGTAGGTTCATCAAGAACCAACAAGTGTGGATTGTTCCACATGGCACCGGCAATAACAACCTTGACCAATTGACCACCAGACAACGAGCCCATAGGGGTGTGATCGGCAATATCCCCGTCTAACCCGACATCTTCGAAATGCTTTCTAATCACAGATGGGGTCAATTCACGGTAACCCAACCCTTCTCTCGACGCTTCATGATCATCAAACTTTTGAATAAGCTTGTCAAATCCGTGCTCAAGCAAGACTTCTCTAGGAACCCACGAGTTGTACTTAGGCAACCAGAACTTCCACTTGATTTCATATTGGAACGACTTCTTCAACTTTTGTCTACCAACAATGGCTTCAATAGCACGAGGGCCTCTTCCGTCAGCAATGTCAATTTCCTTCTTCATGAGCTCAAGTTCTTCGTCAGAAACCTTACGCGATTCCTTAAGCAAGACCTCTCTATCGTCACCAAATCTGTATCTCCATTGTAAATACTGGTTAGCAGTTTTTTCCTTGTGCTGTTCAACATGTTGCAAAGCATGTTGAGCAATATACCCAATTCTCAAATTTGGATGCTTTTCAACCTTACCGGAGTCAGGAACCAATTCACCAGTTAACAACTTGATCAAAGTGGACTTACCAGCACCATTTGGACCCAAGATGGCCACACGAGAACTTAAGGACAAGGACACGGAAACGTTCTTTAAAGATGGCTTGGCACCACCGGGGAAAGTGAAGGTGACATCAGTCATACGGGCAACGGAACGGGTGTTGGACTTAACCCCAGTCAAGATACCTGGAGGTGGGAAGGCCATCTTGACATTGGAATCGGTCAAGGTATAGTAAGACTTACCTTCTGGCTTAACCTTGACAAACTCAGACAAGTTACCCTTGTAGTAAGCCAACTTCTTGTTTTCATAATGGATAATATCAGTACACACGGCATCCAAGAATCCAGAGTCATGGGAAACAATCAAGGAAGTGATGGAAGTGTGATCAACAAGATAATCTTGCAACCATTGGACGTTAGTGACATCCAAATGATTAGTAGGTTCATCCAATAACAACACATCGGCCTTCAACAACATAGCTCTGGCCAATTCCAATTTCATCTTCCACCCACCAGACAAAGAACCGACATTTTGTTGTAATCTTTCGTCAGTGAATCCAACTTCAAGGAGGGCCTTTTCAATGTCGTGTCTGTCGTGAACTTCAGCAAGATCAGGGTCAGAAGCAATGAAACTGACCAAATCCATATCGGCTTCAGAACCTTGCAATTTATGCTCCACGAAACAGGTACGCAATTCATCAGCACTAGGGAATCCTTCCAATTGACCCTTAGAAATGGCTCTCATTAAGGTGGACTTACCAGCACCATTTCTACCACATAACCCATATCTGTGTCCCTTTAATAATCTCAAATTAGTCTTGTTTAACAACATACGGGAACCGTAAGCCAATGAGAAATCAGCATTGACAATTTCAATAGCACCATCGTCATCCTGGTTGTCAGTGGAAGATTCTGGGTTGTACAAGTGACGCAAGTTGGTTACAACAGCTTCTGCGTATTTAGGTTCAGACACGGCCAATTCCAAGTATTCTTGCAAACGCTTCCAATCATTGACATGAGCATCAGCTTGTAAGACAATACTCAAGTAGTTACCAATGACTTCATCGTCCAAGTTTAACTTTTCAACCACCGAGGATAATTCAGCAGGGATGTTTTCAGTATAGAAGTCCTTGGCTTGTTCTAAGGTAATTCTACCGTGGAATTTACCATCGGTTTGTTCACTTTCGGCATCTTGAATAACCTTCAAGGCCTTACCAGCCAATTCTCTGACTTCTGGTAATGAAGCATTATTAACCACTTTTTCAACACCAGGTAACAAAATTGGAATAAAGCTTTCAATTTCACGCTTGTTATTAACTAATCTGGTTAAATTTTCAGTAACCATGACAGTTTGTCTCAATTGCTCGTTGGAAGATGACGACATTTTCAAGGACTTGTCCAAAATTGGAACTAATAAAGACAAGGCAGGTTCAGTAACTTCAGCGACAAATGTAACTGAAGACAAGTTCTTGATACATTCAGTAACCTTTTGAGGATCAGCTAAAGTGTCCACGATGATATCGTACTTATTTTGAAGATCCAAGTTATCCAACACTTTAACAAACTTCTTTAAAGTAGCCAAACCATGCTTGGCCAATTCTGGTTTGAAATCGGTCAGCAAATCCGTCAAGACAGGAACAGCATTGATAAACTTCAATTCCAACAAGTCAGATGGAACTTCTTCAATTATTCTATCGAAATTAACTAATGCACCAACCTTAGAGTTCCACTTAGCGCTGGATTTGAAATAGTTCAAGTATTCATCCAAGACAATAGAACCGAGTGCTTCGACAGGGTAGATTCCATACAAGGCGTCAACGGCACTCTTGGCAGCCTTGGTGACGTTCTTGTCCTTATCAGCAAACATATCGTAAGCAGTACTCAAAAATTGTAACAAGTAAGCTTCGTTTGGAGTTTGTCCACCAAACTTGGTAGCAAGATGTTGGATAATCATCAAGGCAGCTTCTCTGACCAATGCAGGGTTCTTGGCTTTAAGCAAAGACTTGACGATTTCATTCAATTTCCACTCGTTGATAACGGAAAGGGAGTCTTGAGAAGCGATGGCGTCAACTATAGCATCTACTTCTGGTCTGACTTCAGATATCTTGGTGGCTTTTTCAATGTTGGATAAGTTTTCCAGAATTGGGGTGTTTTCAACGTTTAATTTACTCAATGCAGTGTTTAATGAAGTCAAGGAGGTAGTTGATGCATTAGGGTTCATAGGAGTGCTTCTTCCACTAGTTGGCAACGACTCGATAGGAGTAGTAATGGGAGATTCTTGTTGATAAGGACCACGGGTATTCTTGTTGTATCTTTGATAATTCTGGTTGTAACCTTGGTTATACCCTTGATTATATCCTTGGTTGTGGCCTTGGTTATAATTGGTTCCTTGTTGGAAGCTTGGATCGTATCCTTGAGCATAGTAATTGTTGTTATACCCCTGAGGTTGGAAACCTTGCTGATAACCCTGTTGGAAATTTTGGTTGTATCCTTGAGGTTGGAAACTTGGGTTTCCTTGTTGGTTTCTGTAACCGTACCCCTTAGGCTTATTCTGAGAAGCTTGTTGCTGCTTCAAGAAGTCGTCGAATGACTGTTTAGACATGGTACTTGCTAAGAAACTTGTTTGTGATAACAATACACACTAATGTGTTGCCAAAACAAAAAAAAAAAATTTAATGCTCTTCGATTTGAAAAAAAAGAAATGAAAAAAACGTTCTTGAGCCGCACCTCCGTTTTCGGAACAACGTGCATTGTCAGCGGGCGTATGCAGGAACCAACTAGCATTACGGCCGTTCCATTGATAGAGGGTGTGGGTGTGGGTGAGTGTGGGCGAGTGTGGGCGAGTGTGGGCGAGTGTGGGTGAGTGTGGGTGAGTGTGAGGTGAGCGTGAGGTGGGTGAGAGTTGAGGTGAGTGCAAGGTGCAAGGCGCAAGGCGCAATATCCACACAGACAAACCCGACCTACAGTTTGTATACACATACGTATATTCTATTTATGCTAAGTCGCTGACAAATAACTGCTCTGTTTCAGAACAATATTCAATTCGACAGTCTTGTCATCAACTTTATACAAGAGTTCATAAGGAGCCAATTCAATATCATCGCAACTCACAGCATTCTTCAGTTTACTCTTGGATTGCTCCAATGTAACCGTTGCCTTATCATTAACATACCATCCTATGAATGTGACATCACCGCTTTTGCCCTTGGTCAAGAATCTCTTGTTATAACTTCCAATCTCTTTGCTGGTTAGTTTATCCCCCGATTTATAGTTGATTTGATGTATTTTCAGAAGGAATCCGTTGCTGGATGCGCCTGTGATTGCCAATCCAAAGCTCTTGCCGTTTACAGTAGATTTCGATGTGAATTCAATTAAATCATTGGATTGGACACTAGTGAATGCCGGCTTTGCAAGCACAGTTTCTTGAGGAATTTCACCCATTTCTAATGACTTAATTTCCCCCTGTTTATCCACAAGCAAAAAGATTTCTTCGTCAACAGATATTGGGAAAATGTTGGATATTTTGGAAGCAGAACTGGTGAGATTGAATGATTTTGATAATTTGACTTTGTTATCCAGTTTTCTCACTGCAGTTAATTTGATTTGTTTATTATCAGTCATGCTGTTCAAATAGATCGTGATATTATTATGATCATAAACATCAAGAATTTCATACGTGGGGTCGTTAAAATCGTTGATTTCCGGCTCAGGACTAGGAAATGGGGAAATAACCCCGGGGATATCATCTTCCTTTTCGTCAAATTCTTCTTCTCGGTCATCAGCAACAGCAGCACCATTGTCATCATCATCATCATCATCCTCCTCCTCATCCATAATCATGGTGGCTGCCTCACTATCTTGGGTAATCACTCGTTCTAATCCGTCGTTATATATGACATCGTCGTCGAATTTAGGACTGGGAATTTTCACATCAGACATGGATTCTTCTTCTTTGTTATTATTATCACTGAAAAATTGAGATATGATTGAATTAGGCGCAATATGACTCTTTCCAGCCGACAACTCTTTAAATAGTAAACTCTCAACATTATCAGTGTCAGCTTCCTCTTGCGCAGAATGATTAACCAATACGTCATATTCGTTGTTTAGCGAATCGTTTGGATCAGGTAAGTTTAAATAGTTTATGTTTTTTGAAGAAGGGGTCTTCAACAAGTTGACGATTTCTCTCATGGACTTTGTCAACTGCTGTCTTGAGTTTTTGATAATCAGTAAATCAACTTCAGGTATTATAAAGTCGTCCTTGACTTCACTCTTGTCGGTAGTGTCACTACCAGCTATTCCTTTCAATCGTTTGTTCTCTTCTTCCAATGCTTCTATTCTAGCTTTTTGTTTCTTGTTGGCAAACTTTAACGAGTTTACTTCACCTTGCAATTGAACAATCTTGTATTTCATTTCTGACTTTTCTAAATTAGTCATGATTTTATACCTTTCCAAATTTGTAAACTCAGAGGTTAAGTAATTTATAACTCCTGGTAAGGTATACGGTTCAGTAGTCAGTTGCAGTTGTTGCAGCTGCAGTAACTGCTGTTGCTGTGAAGACGGTCCTTGTTGATGCCATTGTGCCTGTGGGTTTATGGATTGATTACCCGATTTCGAGTTCGCCTGACTCTTGGAAGTGCTCATGCTTTACTCTGTGTGTGTGTGTGTGTGTGTGGATCTATTAACGAAGGTTTAAGTTATCGCGTGTTGATTTCCAGTTTTTTCTTTGTTGTCATTTTTTTCTGGTTAGCACTACGACAAGAATTAAGGTTTTGCCCAATTTCAAGTGTATATTACAGATTAACTATACAAAGTCTTACTTCTTACAAGCCCAGTCGTTCAAACCGTATCTATTTCTGGCGATTTCAATAGCATAGAATTGAATTCTGACTGCGAAAATAGTACCTTCTTGAGTATACTCTTCGCTAGCCTTGAGTCTTAACAAGGTACCAAAGTTGTAGTCTTCAATATCCTTGAATTGTTCACAGAATTCTCTCCATTTAGTCTTACCGGCAGCACTCTTCATGTCTTCTTCAGAAATCTGAGCAACGTTAGCAGGCTCTTTGAATTCAGGGAAGGCTTCTAACAAGCAGGTGAAGATGTCATCATCGAACTTGGTCAACTTTAATTTAGATCCTGGGATCTTTTCCAAAAGGGACCAGTATGTTTCGGCTTGTTGCACTGCCTTGACGGCAAATTGCATTTCTATTTCGCCCAAGTTGTCGGCGTTGTCTGCATCAAATTGAGTGGCCATGTTGTTGTTTTGGTGGTTATGGTTGTACTATCTATGAATGGAACATTCGGTAGAAATGACAATTGAATTTTTTTTATTTTTTTTTTTTTTCGATGTCTTCTTGCCCCTGATGATTGCGAAAACACTTTTCATCTATACAAATATAACAGTGAATATATGACTTAGTTCTATAAACTAACTATAATCTAGGCCTCGGTTTAACATCTTGTAATATCCATTTCGCTTCTCTAATACCACTGTTGTAAGCACCATGAACACAGCCAGCTCCATCCATAATCGTGTGTTCTCCAGCAAATCTAATATGACTGCTAGACAACCCACATCCATCAAATTCTCCGCTCAATTGAATAATCAACTCTGATGGATCATCTCCAGTTTCAACAGCAGCATATGCACCTCTGATATAAGGATTCTGTGTCCAGTCTGTAGTAATCACATTTATTGGCTCAGTTGGAATCTTGCCCTTGTGAGCGAGGGTGGCCAACATGGGCTTGTAATAATTCCAGGCTTGCTCGGGATTCTTTTCCAAGTAGTCGGTGAGAGGAGACTGGGTAAGTATGACTAAACTTGGCTTGTTATGAACCGATGCAAAGTTGATAATATAAGCAGGATAAGTGAATGGCTTAGGAGGTGAAGTTATAGTCGCGGACAAGTTGACTTGGTTGTCATCAGCTAAAATTTCAAATCGATCTTGTGATTCATCCCACCACACATCATCAAACTCAAAAATTACTTTACCCAATGCCCCAAAGTGGATTGTCGAAAGCGCATCTTGAATGCTCTTTGGTAATGGTGGATTCCAGGTAAGTCCATATGGATGGGCAGCAGGTAATTGCAATATACTTTGTGGGACAGTGACAAGTAAGTAATCACTATAAATCTTCAAGCCAGTACTTGATTCAATACAAATTGGTTTGGAAGTCTCTTTGTTATTTCTGTCGATTTTAACAATTGGCTGCTTGGTCAATATTCTTATATCCTTTACTAGTTTGAGCAAGTTTTCAATGATAAAGTAATAACCCCGTTTATTTAACAAGTTTCTCCCTTGATGATCCATAATGGAATACTTTCCACTGATCTTATCCCAACTTATCCCATACCACAATTCCAAATATCTCATTATTCTTGTGGAATAATCGATCTGTTCAGGAGTCAACATGAATTCATACTGTTGGACAAACTGCTTGACAATGTCTTGTAAGGATATGTCTTCTGTGTCCAACTCTTCATGATAGTGCAACTCAATATATTTTTCAAGATCTTCAACAACTCGATTGATTTTAAGGCCAGAAACATCAATCAACCCATTACGATCGTAAATCTGGATATCCTTATCGTCATAATAAGTATCGTTCTTTACGTCAAAGTAGTTGTTGGCGACTGCATCTTTCAACACTTGATTGGTTAAAGTGTCGTGGAACCAAGCAGCTCCTAAATCATAGGAAATACCGAGTTTGGATTTTGTAGTATCGGTTTTAATTCTTCCACCAATTCTATCTTGGGCTTCGACAATGACTATATCATCTGGTTGAAATGGTGAATGTGGTTCGTTGAGAAGAACCTCAGCGGCTTTCAACCCAGACACACCTGCTCCAATGATTGCCACTTTGGTAGTAATTTTCGACATTGTTGATATTCAAGGAGATGAAGCGAGGTTGTTTTTTTTTTCTTTCGAGCTTTTCACGTAATCTTATAAGTAATCGTTTCACTGATAACCTTCGGTGCTCGTTTCCCTTTTTCGCACTTGATTTGATAAATGCGCTTTCACCACCCAATTGGTAAAACAATGCCCTTGATTACGAAGCATATTGTTCACATATTTTATTATCCTAATTAACTATAGATTGTTCACTTATGGAAATGCACACTACAATCCCAATGACTTTCTCACATGATCTCTAATTTGTCTATTATACTCTTCCCGATTGTCTCTCCATAATTTACAAGCATCAATATTAGCCCCGCTTTCCGGGTTTGGCTCGGCCAACATGGACACAACACTCAACAAGATCTTCTCGATGCTTTGAACTGGACTCCATCTTTCCTCTGGTCTCTCATACTGGTTGGGATCTTCTCCAGGTGGGTGTAAGATCAGTATACACACAGTTCCATCGGCGTAAATATTAGGGTGTAACAAAGGTGGATCGAATTTTAAACTGGGGGGACTTAAAGGGTAGTCCTTAGGAAACAGTAAAATGGCCGGAAATACGCCATTTTCATAAGGTGTATCTGTTGGACCTTCTAATAAACATTCCCATTTGAACAAGTCGTCTTCGCTGACAGGACCAGCTACTATTCCTGGTGGAGGATCTCTAGATAATTGTTGATACTCTTTGAGCAATCGTTTTTGAGCAGTTGAACGAGGTGGCATAGCAGTAGGAGTTGAAGTTTTATAAAAAGTTCTATTACTTATTAGTTATTATGTGACCTGTTCGTTTGTGTTTTCTCTGTGATTCTCTGCACTTTCTGTGGGAATCGGGGGATTTTCTTGGTGTGTTTTTATGGCTTTTCCAACATTGTCGAGCGAGCCCAAAATGTTGGCAAATTTCGTTTTTGCCAGATCACGAGTTGTGAAAAAACTGGAAAACCACCACCTCCTCCCCAAATCAACAGGCAGTTCCTTTCACAATTGTCTACAACCATGTCCTCCTTTCTCGTTGCCAAAGTCAAAAACGTCTTGAGTCCAGACACTGTGGTACTTATCCCACCCAAAACCACCCAATGTCCTGCTCCTGAACGTTTGCTCACCCTTTCCTACGTGCGTGGTGGAGACGATTTCGAATCTAAGGAGTTTGTCAGAAATTTATTGATTGGCAAAGACGTCAAATTTAAGGTATTATACAAAGCTACCAATCGTGAATTTGGAGATATCCAATCGCCAATTTTCAAATCCTTAATTGAATATTTATTAAAAAATGGTGTTGTCAAATTAAAGGAAAACTTTAGTGAAAGTGAAGGTGATATTTATTACGAATTGAGTGAAGCAGAAAATCAAGCAAAATTGAACCAAGTGGGTGTATGGGGCAAACAACAAGAAAAAATCGATTTGGTTGCTCTTGATGAAAAAATCATTGCCAAATCACAAAAATATCCTTTGAAGTTAGTTGTTGAAAAAGTTATCAGTGGTGATAGAATCGTTGGTCGTATTATCGTCAACAAAAACCAACATGTCTCCACTTCATTGTTATTAGCCGGGGTTAAATCTCCAAGAACTGATGATCCTCAACAACCAGCAAACGTCACCAAGGTAGGCCATCAAGCTAAGCAATTTGTTGAAGAAAAATTATTAACCACCAAGGCAGAATTGAAAGTTTCGATTATCGGTGAAAGTCAAAATGGTATTCCAATTGCCACAGTCATCCATCCATCAGGTAACAACATTCATGAAAAATTATTAGAAGCCGGTTTAGGTGAAGTTGTCGATTGGCAATCTACCTTGATTGGATCTTCCACCATGGTCACCTTGAGAAGAGCAGAACAAACTGCAAGAGCTCTCGGTAAGGGTCTTTTCGCCAATGCCCATACTACTTCAGCCAAGCCTGCTATTTCCGCCAGTAAATCGCTTAAACCAGGTGCTACTTTAGAAGGTGTCACCGTGGCTAAAGTCGTCGGTGCTGATACTTTGGTTCTTCGTTTACCACATTCCGAAGAAGAAGTTACTGTTCAATTGGCTTCAATCAGAGCTCCAAGACTCAATGATACTACTGTCACTACCGATTCGCAAAAGCAACATGCTTTGGTACTTACTGCGAAGGAATTTGTTAGACATCAAGTTATTGGTAAGACCGGTACCGTCTATATCGACGGCTATCGTAATGAAAACAAGGATTTGGGATTAGAAGCTAGGTTCTTGATTAGTTTCAAGTATGGAAATACCGATCTTTCTGAATTGTTAGTCACTAATGGTTTCGCCACTGTTATTAAACACAACAAAGCCACTCAACATGAACGTTCGTTAAACTGGGACAAATTAATTGAATTGGAAGAAGAAGCCAAGAAATCCAGCAAGAAAGGTATCTATGGAGACTTGAACAAGGTGTTGACTGTGAGTCCAAGAATCATTGATGCTTCAGAAAACTTCACCAAAGCCAAGACTTTCTTCAATGGATTCAAACAAAAGGGAAGAATCAGCGGATATCATGTTGAGTTTGTGTCTTCCATCAACAGAGTCCGTTTGTTCCATCCTCGTGAAGGCCTCAAGCTCACTTTAATCCTTGGTGGATTATCCAATGATAAATCAGAAGCATTGGGCGAAGAAGGGTTGAAATTGTTGAATAAACGTTTCTTGCAACGTCCAGTTGAGTTTGAAATTTATGACACCGACAAGTTAGGTGGGTTCATTGGTAACTTGTATGCAAATGCAAACAGTTTGGCTCCTATTCAAGTGTCTTTATTAGAACAAGGTCTTATCAAGGTCCATGATTTCGCCGTTAATGCCAACCCATTAGCTTCCAAGTTACTTCAAGCTGAAGAAGGTGCTAAATCCGCCAAGAAGGGTATCTGGGCCGGCTATGATCCTGCCAAGGTTGAACATGAGTTGCAAGCATCCAATGAAAAATTACAGCAATTGAACCTTGATGCTTCCAAACCACAATTTTTCGATATTGAAGTTGTTGATGTTGATTCTACTGGTGTGATCTCATTCCAATTGTTAGATGCCACTACTAAGCAAAAGTTTACCCAATTCAAGAATTCATTCAGTCAATTCCACGCCCAGCCTGCTAGTGCATCTACCAATTCTCCTGATTTACCTTACAATTTAACCAGAGGACCAAAGAAGAATGAATTGGTCAGTGCCAAGTTCAGCGAAGATAACAAGTATTATCGTGCTCGTGTTATTAATTTCGATAAACCTTCAAATAAATATGAAGTTAAGCATTTGGATTATGGTAATGTCGACAAGGTTCCATTAAGCGCTTTAAGAGCCTTGCCTGCTAAATTCAACTTGACTACCATCCCAGCATTTGCTCGTACCACTACATTACAAAACTTAAGATTACCACCATCTGATTATTTAACTGATGCAATCTATGCTTTGGAAGATTTGGTATTTGACAAGAAATTGGTTATTAGTGCCTTACCAGGTACTGCTGCCGAATATGAAGGAATCTTGTACGATTCAGAACAATCACTCAAGGATTCTTCATACACTATCAACAAACAGTTGGTTAATAAAGGGTGGGCCATTGTCGATACTAAAATGGTCAAACCTGCTGTTAAAAGTTATGTTGATGAATTAATCCCCGTGCAAAATGAAGCCAAGGCTAGACATTTAGGATGTTGGGAATTTGGTGACGTTTCTTTTGATGATGAAGAGGCTATTTAGGACATTATAGTTTAAATATAGTTTTTACGCTGGAGAGTTGTAAGGGTCTGATTTTTCTGAACTTGATATTGGTTACCGATGAACTTGCCATCATAAGATGATGGACAAACCGAATAAACGCTACCAATCATATCGAGTCCAATCTGTGTAACTACATAGTGATTTCTTATTGCATAACCTACGAATTGTCTGGCATTTTACCGTATTCATCCATGGCTTTCTGAACGCGTTCAGAGCTTTTTTTTTATTTGCATGGAAAAACTTTGTCATGATTAAGTTGCACTGTGCTGCACCCAACTGTTGAACTCAACCGTTGCAATATTTAGTTTGTGTTATGTTGATAACGAGATAACGGTGCCGTGCATTAAAGACGCCAGCCATAGCTTAAAATGCAATAGTCGTGCCCTACCTAATCAAATATTCTATCATGTTCTATTTAATCTTAATTAATTAATTTTTTTTTTTTCCTTGTCGCAATTTCTTTTTTTCCGTTCCGTCGTGTGTGCTGGCACACAGTGGCACTACAATTTTTTTTTGTCCATTAAATTTAAAATTTTCAATCAGCTCTCGTATTCTTTCTTTAGCAACCAGTAAATCAGAAAGATCCACTATGAACCCAGCTGTTTCCAACATCGTCATCATGCTTGTCATGATGCAATTGGCCAAGAGATTAGACTTTGAAGACCCCGATGTCTTGTTCTACACTCGTGCCGCCTATGTTTCCTGCCAATTGGTTGCATTTGCCATTTACTTTATTGTTAGGGCCAAGATCAATGCAAAGAATGATTTGACCACCTTGAAATACGTTGAACCAGCCAACCCACTCTCTGGTGACGCCGAACCAAAGGCTGTTGTTACCACTGTCAAGGAGTACGACTTGCAACAAGTCAACACCCAAGTCAAGGGTATGTTTACTGGTTTGGCCATGATGGCCTTCATGCACCTTTACATGAAGTACACCAACCCATTGTTTATGCAACTTATCTCCACCGTTAAGTCTGCTTTGGAATCCAACATTGTCAAGATTCACTTGTTTGGTGCTCCTGCCAGCGGTGACTTGAAGAGACCTTTCAAGGCTGCTCCTGGATTCATGGATGCTTTAACTGGTGCTGGTGCCGTCAAGACCGACAAGCAATCCATCGAAGAAGCCGAAGTCAGTGGTGCCGGTGGTATTAAAGAAGATTAGGGAATAAAACTAAAGCAAACCTTATATTTTTGTTCTATATATTTCACTTCTGTTTTACTAATATACATTCCTGTTCTTTACCACGTACAAACCCTGCAAGATCGATTATTCTCGAGGCAATGATCATGTTTTCCACGGTCCATTCTCCCTTACCGTATACTTCTGGAATAGCTTGGGCAAGATCGGGGAACAATTGCTCGTAAATTGGTTGATAGTTGACAATTTCCTGAGGATCAATTGTAGTTTCTTGCTTCAATTTGTCGAATAATGTCTTGACCCATTCAGGCAAGTATTGATCCGATTCGTCACTGTACACTTCTCGGTTGTAACAACGCATCAACCAGAGCAACCAGCATTGGTCTTGGAATTCGTGTTCGAGAATCGAGTCATAGCTAGGGAACCCCAAGCCGATAAGCAACGATTGTTGAAACTTGACATCTTTCTTATATACATTTTTCAAAGTGATCAAGTTTGCCTTGTCCTCACGCAAGATTTCCTTTTCCATTTGTTTGATTTTGCTTATTGAACTGGTATAAATTCTCCCCTGGGAATCAATATACCATTTTATATACTGATTCTTCAGTTTGGTGTCCTGGGGGAGCAAATTCCGTTTGGCTTCAAGAGCATTGCGTAATTGGTTCAATCCGGCGAGTTTCATCCGCAAAGTTATATCACTTGTGGTCTGCTGATCTAATTCGTTTTGAACCAAGTATTGGAATGTTTGAATGAGTGTTTCTGGAATGTGATCTTTAGTAATAAAGAACAAAACTCCATTTTTGAATGTATCCACTGAACTTTCTTCCTCGGTTTTATGTTCCACCACAGAAGTAGTATAATCATTAGCAGTAGGTAATTTGACTCCACTGTCAAGAAGTTGCTTGACTAGTTCCTCAGGGATCTTTATTTTTAATGCAACAGAATCCGAATCATTCTGTTCAATAGCAAACCCATATGCTAACAACAACTCTTCGTTCCCCTTCATACCGTAATTATTAAACAATTGTTGATTGATTTCGGCATTACCGTTTCTGAAACAAAAATTGTCATTCTTGACCTCCCAGTATACTTCTGCTTTAGAATCATGGTTCAACAAGTCAAGCACGGGGATCAACATTGCTGAATCTGGTTTGAAAGTCGAGTCAATAAGGTAGGCTGGGAAGGACCTGCTCTTCAAGATTTGATTTGACCACGCATAATTGGCAAAACTGGTCCAGTTATCTACTTCGGCTTCATTGAAGAACGCAAAAAGATCTTCATCCTTGTAGAATTTGTACTCGTAGTAAAACTTCATGTTGACAAAGTGATTCTCGGGTTTGGGAACTTCCTCGGGGATCAAGTTGATTACTTCCCACCATTCTTCGACTAAATGAGCCAAGATTTCCGTGAGAGAATTACCAAGATTCGTGCCCTTGATCAAGCTCTTGTCTTGAGGAGACCAGGTCCATGGTGAGTTAATTTCCTGTAATGTAGGGAGTAATTCCAAATATTGCTTGTGCGAAGATTTGGAGATAAACTCGCTAGTACGTTCTCTAGCCAAGTATAACTTGAGTAAAGAATTCGAGTTGGGGCATTGTATACCAGGGAATGATTCAATTGCAGTTCTGGGAGTGATCAATAACGCAGTCGGTATTTCAATCATGTCATGGTCAGATTCAGTTCCAGTGCATATGGCTCCAATATTATTAGCTGATATCTCTTTGAATTGGACTCCTGGTGATATGTATGCATTATGAGCTCTGGCCCATTCAATTAGGGAGTTGATCTTATCTAGTTTGGACATTGGTTGTGATGACATACACTTGGTGATGACGCAGGGGGGAATTTTTCATTTTTGCCTCTTTTTTGCGGGCAGCTCTTCGCAAGATCTATGCTGGTGCCAATGCCATGGACAACAGTATGGAAAACTGGAACAATCATACACACACACACACACTTCGACCTTGGATTCCAATTGAACTGAAATAGCAGCTGCTTATGATAGCTACTATAACCCGAATCAACAAATTAGTAGCGTATCTGGTAGCACAGCGTCCTGTGTAGCTGCTTAAATATTGTCTCACACTTTTGTCTCGGAATCTGCGCAAACTTCCGCGCAAACTCCTGAACATTTAAAATTTCCAAAATCATCATTCCACTTTTACTCAAAGCCCATTTCGTCACAACAACGAACGATGATATCCAGAATTACATTGAGGAATTCCCTCGTCAGATCCACTCCACTTACCCGCCATGCTCGTTATTTATCCACTTCTTTCCGTGCATTCCAAGAACAGAAGGAACCTTCGGAACAACAACCTAATTCCGGAAAACGTCGTCCTTTGAGCAGAGTCGCCATTGGAGGCAGCGACACCAATCACAAGTACGCCAAGGGCGGCAGCATCGAGTTTGCCGCCTGGAAGGCCATCTTGTTGTTCATTGGTGCTGGTGCTATCGGTACTTATTTCTTCCTGAAGGAGAAGGAACGGTTGAGAAAACAGCGGGAAATGGAACAGAACAGATCCGTGGGTAAACCACTTATTGGTGGTCCATTCTCGCTTGTTGATACCGAAGGGAACAAGTTCACTCACGAAAACTTGAAGGATGAAAACGGGAAAAGATTCTCCATCATCTACTTTGGTTTCTCGCATTGTCCTGACGTCTGTCCTGAAGAGCTTGACAAGTTGGGAGAAATGTTGACTGAGTTGAAGAAGGACAATATTGAAATGCAACCAATTTTCATCACTTGTGATCCAGCAAGAGACACTCCTGAAGTCATTAAGACTTACTTGGAGGATTTCCATCCAGATTTAGTTGGATTGACTGGTTCTTATGATCAAGTTAAAAACTGTTGCAAACAATACAGAGTTTATTTTTCCACCCCTCCTAATGTGAGACCAGACCAAGATTATTTGGTTGATCATTCGATCTTCTTTTATGTTATGGATCCTGAAGGTAATTTCGTGGATGTTATTGGCAGAGAAGCTAATGTTAAAGAAGGGGTTGAAAAGATTAGAAAGGCTGCTGATGCGTTTATGCCAGAAAGTGAAAGACAAAAGAAACAACAAAGTTGGTTGGGATTTCTTTATAAGTAAAAACAGAAAAACAAAGTTGGTGTTCTTGTATATAATAAAAGCTTGTAAATTTTGTGTCGCGCCAATTTACGACATAGATTCAATATATAATTATTAGTGTCTAAAATCTAATTACCATAATTGTAACAGCCGTCAAAAAACGAGATTTCTTGCTTGAGGGCTTTAACAAACATTTCCTCGCACACTTTTTCATCTTGTTCAGTCTTGACAACTCGGTCGACTTCTTGCTTCAAGAACTCAACCCACTTGGTGAATGCTTCTCCACTATGTAAATCAATCCATTCTTGGTGTTTAAATTCCAACCCTTGTTTAACCAACCCATTGTCAATGTTGTAGTCGGCCCAACCAAGGTAGACTTTCTCCATGACATAGGTGAAGGTGATCAATTCCACATAGCTTTTACTTTGGTAAGTCATGTACTTTAACAAATCGAGATATTTCTCAACTTCAGGCAAAGTAACAGGATTGTCACCCAACATGTCACCAACTTTTTCTTGCAACAATTGCAAATTTTCCTCCTTAATTTGACTCAACGATTTAAAGAAATAATCGTTTTCATCATTGGAAAGAAACCCAATTTGTTTACCCAACACAATTGCCGCTTGTGGATCGTCACAATATGCCAATGTGTTCCCGAACAAGTTCAATCCAATTTGGAAAAACTTGAGATCTTGGGTTAAATAAGTGAATAACCTGTGATCGGAAAGGGTACCATTGCAAAGTTCGTTTGTCAATGGGTGGGTGGTGGACTCGGTGTACAAGTCAGCGTACTTCCTCAAGAGCTTCTCAACGATGGACATCTTTTTGCTTAACAAGAAAGAAGCCGGACACCTCGGGAGAAAACTGGTCCTGTTTAAATAGTTTTGCTCGAGAAGGGGATATTTTAGTTTTTATTATTGGTGCATGATTTATTTTTCAGGTGTATGCGCTTAACTGGATTTTTCAAGAGTTATTAAATAGCAATGATTAAAGTATAAGTAGTAGCCAGGAGAGGGGGGAGATGCAAAAATTTTTCAACAATTCCAAGTTCAGCCGTTTTCCTTAGTTATCATGTCTGACATTGAAAAGAATCCTACATTTTCAGATACTACCTCTGTATCTACTTTGTCCACCCCCAGGGGTCCCAAGTATATCACCTGGATATATAAACTTGACTCCTTTGGGGTTGAAACGAGAGGGATTGAGCGGGTTTCCGGCGAGGAAAGACAAAGAATTGCCCAATCCACCTCCAAGTACGTTCAGTTTGGTCAAGTGATTGGTCTTTGGATCGCTGCATGTGGTGGGTTAACCTCCATGAGTTCCTACTTTTTGCCTACTTTACTTCTTGGATTAAACTTGAGAGATGCGTTGGTGAGTGGGTTGATTTCTATGATTATTGGATGTCTTATCCCAGCATATTGTTCCACTATGGGCCCAAAATCTGGATGCAGACAAATGGTGACTGCAAGATTCCTCTTTGGACAATGGGGGGTCAAGTTTGTGGCGTTGATTGCTATTGTCGGTGGTATTGGATGGTCTGTGGTTAATTGTGTTTTAGGTGGACAAATGTTGGTAGCTATAAATGGGAACATCTCCTTGGCGGTTGGTATTGTTGTGATTTCAATTGTAAGTTTGATTGTCGCCATTTTTGGGATCAGAGTATTGTTGAAATTTCAAACCATATTGGCAATCCCTATTATCATTGCCTGTATTTTATTTTATGTGGTTGTGTGTCAGAAAATGGACTATATCCATGATTCAAACGAAATGATTAAGCAAGCAGGGTACTCTGCATTAACCACTAGAGGCAACTGGTTATCATTCTTTGCCATTGGGTATAGTATTACTGCTACTTGGGGATCGGGTGCGTCTGATTATTACATCTTATTCCCCGAGAATACTCCTTCGTACCAGATTTTCTTGGTTACTTTCTTTGGTATTAGTATTCCATCCACATTTGTTGCTATTGTCGGTACTCTCTGTGGAACAATTGCTCTTTCATACAAACCATGGAACGATGCATACAATACACTTGGAGTTGGTGGGTTAATTGTAGAGACTTTCTCACCATGGGGCAGATTTGGAAAGTTTGTTGCTGTGATTCTCTACATTTCCTTAATCTGTAACAACATCATGAACACCTACTCCATTGCATTTGAGTTTCAATTAATTGGTCAATACTTGTTGTACATTCCTAGATGGGTGTGGGCATTCATTGTCACTGCCATATACATTGTCCTTTCACTTGCTGGTAAGGAGCACTTTCTGACTATTTTAAGTAACTTCTTGCCGATGTTGGGATACTGGATCTCGATGTACATTGTTCTCCTCCTTGAAGAGAACTTGATATTCCGCTCCACTATAACATCGCGAAAGATGCATGAGAGCGAATACAGCGGCGGGAACTATGATATGTTGTACAATTGGAACAATTGGAATAAACCCAAGGGATTGACTCGAGGTGTTGCTTGTGCTTTGGCATTTGCCTGTGGGGTTGCTGGTGCTGTTATCGGTATGAACCAAGTGTATTACCAAGGTCCGTTGGCCAAGAAGATTGGTGATTATGGTGGTGATTTAGGAATGTGGTTGTCGTTTGGATTCACGGGGATCACCTATCCTGTGTTTAGATATTTTGAATTGAAGCAGTTTAAGAAGTAGGGGACTTAGTCTCCTACTTCTGCATAGATAATATTACGTCCACCGCTTCTGCATAGATAATAATTAACCTCTATAATCAATAGTTGATTTTGCAACTTGTCAATGCGCACTACTTGTAAAAAAAAATTCTTATCTATAAAACAACAACCCCAATTTCATCTTTATTCCGCCATGCCAGGATTAACCACTGACCAACTAGAAACATTCCAAAGAGAAGGTCTCCTATGTATCCCCGATTTTCTCACACCAGATCAAACAACCCAGCTTGTGAGCCATGCCAAGGAATTACTTGCTCAATGCGATTTATCCAAACATCCACGAACCCAATTCAAAACTGATGACAACGACCATATAGGTGATGCATACTTTTTTGATTCCTCCGACAAGATCTCGTTTTTCTTTGATACTGATGCGTTTGACGATTCTGGAAATTTAAAGTTTCCCTTGGATAAAGCCATCAATAAAATAGGTCACGGATTGCATATTCATGATGCGGTATTTCATGATGTCACATTTGACCAGCGAGTCAAGGACATTGCCAGAAGTTTGCAATATGTTGATCCGAAGGTTTTACAAAGCATGTTGATTTTCAAACAGCCAACAAGTCAAGAGGAAAGTGAACGAGACAATGCCGTTCCTCCCCACACCGATGCTACTTTTTTGTACACTACCCCTCAATCAGCTATTGGGTTTTGGTTTGCCTTGGAGGATTGCACAATCGAGAATGGATGTTTGTCATATAGCCCTGCGACTCATTTGACTCACGATATAACTAAACGGTTTGTTAAGATTGAACAAGGTAGGAAAGGATGTGGATTTGTGAAAGTGGATGGAGAGGAGAAACCAGATGACGGTGAGTACAAGCTTGTTCCTTGCAAAGCGGGATCACTTGTTCTTATACATAATTCAGTATTGCACAAATCTGAAAAGAATAGGTCGGACAAGTCACGATATGCGTATGCATTTCATGTGATTGACGGCACTGCCAAATATGACGAATTGAATTGGTTACAGGTGCCACCCACATCCAAGAATGGCACAGAATTTACAAAATTGTATCATGAAAACTAAATTTACCCATTAACCGTATCTATATATATCTAACAAGTCAGCGAATCACCAGGATTCACCAATTTCCCCTGCCAACTGTAATATTTTGACATATCCACATGATGTTTCGTCCCGTTGGACTCATACATGGAGCATCCATACATGGCGGCATAAGGAGGTGTGTATAAATGCAATGAAACACTAACTCTGTCCAGCAATGGGTTTGTAATTCGATGTAGCCCAATCTTGTCGGAGATGTAGCCCACTTCATCACGAGCTAATGTAGTCATTTTTTTGACCTCCATCTTAGTTTCTCCCTCGGGGATATCATACAACGATTCAACTAATTCTCCAGCAAGTATCTTCATACAACAGTGGGCATTAGCGTGATCGTGTATAGCCGAGGATTTCTCGGGCGACCATACCAAAATTAAAAGATTAGCATTTCCGTTAATGTTGATTACCCCATTTCGAGAATAATTCCTCAGTGGGTCGTAAAGAGCAAACTTTTCCCAGTCTAATTCGTCCGACTTGTAAGACTCCATGAGTTGCTTCACCTTTTCAATATCAATATCATCAGAAGTAAGTCCCCTGTCTTTTCCCAACAACTGTTTCAACTCTTGTATTAGTTTGTAGAACCCACTGGACTCACAAAGACCATCGATGCTTGTGCCATTAACTTCAAGACCGTGGTCTATATCGGGGAGTAACTGTTGTGTAGATCTTCGTGATAAGGAAGGTGCCACAGTAGCCGAGGCTGGACACGAAATTGGTGGTGTGGTAGAAACGCTATCGAATAAGCTATTGTTTGGTTTCAAAAGCATGTTAGCAAATATATAAGCAATGTCTAAAGTGAAAGCGAATCTAGTGTCAAACGTCTCCAGATCTTACTCTGTATTTATATTTATCTAAATACATTACAAAAAAAAAGGAAAAAAAATTTTCGTGTGGGTTTTTGTTTGTGGCGGGCGGTGGTTAAACGGGGGGATGGCTCTTGCGGAATTTAATTGGGCGGCGGCGGCTGCCGTGGCTGTGTTATGCCCCGACAAATAAACTTTGCTTGCTGTTCAAAAGGAACACGGTTAATTTGCTCATACCACGGGGATCCGTACCCGAGCGGTGACTAACAAAAGAATTTCCCAAATAGGAAATTATGGTGGTTACAGACATGTATTGTCGGGGATTGAAATTTTACTCTGGAAACTTTATTTGTCTATTTGCAGAGAAAGCTATGTCTTGAATTTGGGGCGCAATGAAGATACCGACTTATCCGCTGACTATTTTGATATGTACTTGGAAAAGATTAACTCTTGAGCTCAGCCTTAATTCCAAGTTGTTGCTGCAACATTTCCCTTTGGAAAAAGTAAACGGAGATTATAAATAATGGTTCTAAGCGTACCAATATGAAATTGCCTCATTATTGTTCAACTACCAAATTTCAAAGATAAGAATAAGCGGGTTTCATGAGCGGCATTTATCCAGTGCCTCATATTGAAACGGGGTCTTTCCTAATTTGGAAATTTGTTTTCCCTATCATTTTAGGCAAATTTCCGCCTGTTTTTCTGCTCATAACTTGCTTTACACTAGAGAAACATTTGAAGTTTGTCTATCTTCAAGAACTTCAATCTAGTGATGCCTGGGACAAGCACATAAAAGTAGCGACCTGTGAATTAAGCCACACCCATTGATGGTATTCCCGCATGTTCCCTAGCCAAGATAACTCCCCCTGTCTTACTATGTACATCCTGCATATTAGCGTTATTATTTGAACAAACGTTTTTTTTCCCTCGGACCAATTTTCAAATCCCGACATTTGGGATTTGACTCAGATGAGTCAGTAAGGACAATTTGTAGTAATACCCGACAAGAACCCTCTTCCAGGCATCTTATTGTTTTGTAATAGTCATGAATTTCACACTTTTGTGTCATAATCTTGAATAATCTTGAGTTCATGCGGTGGTTTACCGACAAACCCCAAATTATGGAAATTGAATCAGTCTTAGCCGCTTGAAATTTTCTTTTTTTTTTTTTAATGATATATTTTTTTGTTTACTAAATAGAATACACATGATCTTCAATTATATATATATATATATATATATAGGTGTGCTTCACCTACTCATACCAAACTCAATTCTAATTACTTATTCATTACAACTACTCCTTACTTATTGATTTTAATTACCATTTGCAACTTATCCTTCAACATAAACTAAAATTTTGCAACTATTCTCGATGTCAGATAGCAATCAAATAATTGTGGCGCTGACCAATGACGCAACGACCGTTGCAACCACAGATGAGCATCCACACCAGGAAAACCACAGTGATCGAACCGACGTCGATTCGAATATATCCGACACTACAGAAAATATCACCTGCGACCCTAATGGAAAACATATGGATAGAGAAGACTCGATATATTCTGGAGTTTCGTATTCCCTGAAACTTTCCTTTACATCACGCATATACAACCTAGTCATTGAAGATGCCACCAAGAACTTCCATCCAGTCTACTTTGTCAGTATTATGGGTACTGGTATATCATCAAGCATATTATACAACTTCCCCTTTGAGGCCGAATGGTTGCGAGTATGTTCGTATATAATGTTTGCATTCACATGTTTGTTCTTTTTAGGAACCACCACATTATTCATATTATCATGCAAATATTTCCCAGGAAGGTTTAGAGAGTACCATGTTGACACTTCCAAGGCAGTGTTTATGGGATGTTATTCAATGGGATACATCACCATCGTCAATTACATTGAAATATTAACTCATGACCGCCATACAATATTTGTATGGGTGTTATGGTGGATTGCTGTGTTTTCCGCCATGTTTACAGCATTCATAATTGTCTTCTTTTCATTCATGTCGAAATTAAACAAAGTGGACACTGCGGCTAAGTTGAATGCAACTTTACTCCTTCCTATAGTTGCCATTACCGTGGTATCATCTTCAGGACATCAATTGGAATTAAGACTTCCAACCATGAACCAAACTGTTATCACCATGCTCGTCAGTTTCATGCTTTGGTGTCTTTCCATATCACTTGCATTCATCATAATAACAATATACTTCTGGAGACTTATCGTCCACAAGATCCCACCTACTCACTTGGTATTCTCCAGTTTCCTTCCTGTGGGATTCCTTGGACAATCATCATACAGTATTCTTCTCATGGGAATAAATTTGGACGTATTAATACCGCTGGATCAACCATGGGGAAAGATCCTTCTTTGTATATGTGGATTCTTTAGTATGTTCCTTTTATCGTTCGGATACTTTATGACATTCGTTGCTATCCTGTCAATCTTCTCCAAAATCAGACCATTTGCAAAAAACCCCAACCCCAAACATACTAATCAACACGGATTCCTCAAGATTCACAAAGGGTTCTGGGCCATGACTTTCCCCTTGGGGACCATGAGTTTGTCAAACACAGAGATTGGTAAAGGTACCATAGGTAATTATCCATTGATTACATTCAGAGTCATGGGTGCCATATTCGGGACTGCATGTATTTTGGTTACTGTTTCTTGCATTATTGGTGTCATTGTCACCATAGTGAAGAAGTTAAATTCATTATTTATCAGGAGACAAATTAGTATAGTTTAATTAACTATTTATTTATTTATAGATTAATAGATGGGCTAGTCCTTATTGCTGATCCATACCCAAGTTAATAATAAGATTAAATATGAGTTAAATCTAAATATGGTTTACTGTTCCTATATCATTGGCGTATCAGTGTAATTATAGAATTCCAATAAAAAGATCAACATTTCAGCCAATATCTCCAAACTGTGAAATCTAATTGAGCATGACAAAGGGTTACATCAAATCAAGTTAAAAATCTAAAGTATCTTTGGTTTAGGTTCCACTTCCTTTATTTGCCGGTCGAGCTATTTTACAAATTTTAAAACAATAAGACTACCATCCAACCAAGAAACAATGTGCAACAGATCATTATGTTTACCCAAGCGTGGAATATACATCAAACGGGTGCTCATCTTTACTCGAGGAATTATGCATTGTCTCGAATATATTGTCTAATTGGCAAACATACAATATGCTCCTGCTTGAACGATACAATAAGAAGTTCTTAACTTTTTACAACAAGTTAGAGCGGGGAATATACGCTAACTCCAAAATATATCAACGACAACCAGCTTATTCTTTGTTGGTTTCAAAGTTAGTACATGAAATACTATTTTATATTCAATACTCAACAAATGGTGATTGTTGATATTTGTGATACAGGGTATTATTATCAAACATCGACGTTTGTTGATGAATCTTTCTGGTAGGAATTAGTAACTTAATAGTGAACCCACGGACCTTGTTTGTCACATAGATGATAGTTCTGATATAATTGTATATAGGTCAAAGTAGCTATATCATGTCACAACTTACTTATTTACTTAGTAGGAAAACGTAATAACATTAATTCATATAAAATAATACGCAAGGACATAATAACGATAAAGAAAGATCATAAGCAATAAATAAATCATATAAACAGCAACAAATATCAAAGAGAAGAACTTCAAACAACCGAAGTTCAACTAGAAAAGCAAAGCTATCAAGTGAAGAACAGTAACTAAAAGCAAAACCAAGTTGGACATGGAAGGGAGTAAAACATTTCCAGAGTCAACTACAGCTACCGGTACTGGGTCCCCAAAGTCATTGTTTGGTTGAATTAAAACCGGAGTTGGATCTTCAATACCAGCATGTGCTTCTCCAGCAGCAGACCTTCCTCCAACACCAGCGCCTGTTCCGCCACCTGCTCCTGCTCCACTTCCACCACCAGCGCCCGTTCCTGCTCCGCTTCCACCACCTGCTCCACTTCCACCACCAGCGCCCGTTCCTGCTCCGCTTCCACCACCTGCTCCACTTCCACCACCTGCTCCAGTGCTACCTCTACCACCAGCTCCCATACCAGTAGTTGCAGGAATTGCTCCTCCTGGACGTGTTCCTATACCAGTAGGACTTCCACTTCCACGCTGGGCATCTGTTCCAGTTCCAGATCTACTTGGTCCTCCACCACCTGGTCGAACTCCTGTTGGAGTACCATTTCCTGTAGATGGCTTTCTGGTTGGACTAGGACTTTTACCATCTGGACCTGTTCTCGTTCCACTAGTACCAGATCTAGCACCAGATCCAGATCTACTAGGACTTCCACCGTCTGGACGTGTTCCTACGGGAGTTCCAGTACCAGATTTACTTGTGTCTCCACCACCTGGTCGAGCTCCTGTAGGGGTACCATCTCCTGTAGCTGGCTTTCTCGTTGTACTAGGACGTCCTGTACTACTTCCACTTGATTTACTAGGACTAGAAAGTATACCTGTAGCACTAGCACCAGATCCAGATCCAGATCTAATAGGACTTCCGCCGCCTGGTCGTGTTCCTGCAGGAGTACTAGTGCCAGGTCCAGATCTACTTGGTCCTCCACCACCTGGTCGTGCTCCTGTAGGGGTACCATCTCCTGTAGATGGCTTTCTCGTTGTACTAGGACCTCCTATACTACTTCCGCTTCCTTTACTAGTACCAGAAGGTACACCTCTAGAACCTCCTCCTCCTCCAACTTCTTGTCCACTAGTTCTGCTAATTGCACCACTAGTACCTAAACCACTAGGACTAATTGTGTGACTTTGACTGCCTGTGCCTGTAGCACTTTTACTAACATCTTTCGTTGGACTTCCAGAACTTACACCTTTACCTGAACTTTCTCTCTTGCCAGAATCCGTAGCAGATTTGGTAGGTCCTGTATTTGGGACAATTGGAGTCCTGCTGTTACTTGCTAAACTCCCTGGAACAAAAACAATTACAGTAGCTGTCTGTCCAGGTTCTGCACTCTTAGTGGTATACGATGTAACCGTGCCCTCATAAGTACTGGTAGTAGTCACAGTAGGAACTGGAATTTCAACAATAACAGTTACAGTCTTATCAGTCTCTGGATCATATGGTAATGTGGTCGTCTGTGTAAAGCTTCCTGTCCATGTCCTGGTTTCAGTAGCAGTATCAAGAGAGTGAGCTTCTCCACCTGTTTGGATAGGCTCACCTGTCTCAACACCAGGATGGTACTCAATAACCGTAGCAGTCTCACCAGGTTCAGCCGTCACAGTAGTGTACGAAATGGTAGAGCCATCATAAGTCGTACTCAGCGTAACAGTTGGAATAGGTACTTCGACAATGATACTAATAGTTTCGCCAATCTCAGGATCATAAGGTAACGTGGTCGTCTGGGTAAAACTACCTGTCCACGTTCTGGTTTCAGTAACAGTACCAAGAGAGTGAGCTCCGGGTTCTCCAGTCCCAACAGATTCTCCAGTCTCAATAGATTCTCCAGTCACACCAGGTTCTCCACTTTCACCACCAGGATGGTACTCTATAACCGTAGCAGTCTCACCAGGTTCAGCTGTCACAGTGGTGTACGAAACGGTAGAGCCATCATAAGTCGTGCTCAGCGTAACTGTAGGAATAGGAACTTCAACAACAATAGTTACAGTCTTATCAATTTCAGGATCATATGGTAACGTGGTCATTTGGGTGAAACTTCCTGTCCAAGTTCTAGTTGAAGTGGCAGTTTCAAGAGAATGAGCTCCGGGTTCTCCACTTTCACCAGGTTCTTCAGTCTGAACAGGCTCTCCTGTCTGAGCAGGTTCTAGTGTCTCAATAGATATGCCAATTTCAACAGGTTCTCCAGTTTCAACAGGTTCTACAGGATGGTACTCAATAACAGTAGCTGTCTCGCCAGGTTCAGCTGTCACAGTGGTGTACGAAACGGTAGAGCCATCATAAGTCGTGCTCAGCGTAACTGT